ATGTTGATCCCTCTTTACTTTTTCTGCTGTTACTTTACACCACTGTGGCTCCTCTGAGGGCGTATTGGCAGACACAAAACCTCTTTATCTAAATTCAGAAACCTGTAAAACTCTACCAATGCTTCTTCTTAACAAAGGCAGCGCAAAAAGAAGGCAATCAGAAAGGAATGTTAACAAATGGAAGACTGATTAACCTCATAAAACTTCCAATTGTCCTGTAACTCATTATTCTGAGGTAAGGAGAAGGCAAGCAGCATGTTGCACACTTGTTCTTTACTGCAGGTGCGACACACACTGTTCCTTCAGCCAAACTGTCCTTTAAAGATTATTTTTTGATGCATTATGCAAGTGATATATAGTAAATTTTTGATGTATTTATGGCATTATACTTTTCTAAATGGCTAACACTGCATGTGATATTAAAGTTCAAAAGGGGCAGGGAAAAAATGAAAAAGGCTCTAAGTAAGGCTGGAAAAAATGAAGAAAAGCCTAATGAGAGTACCAAGCAAAACAAATACAGGCAATACAATAGCAGCATCTGTAAGTGACTACATCAAACATCTTACGCCTCTCCCTTTAAAATCAATGGCAATTTCTCCAATTACCTTAAGTATTACTCCAGGGGGAAAAAAAAAAAGGTGCTGAAAAGTTTCAGTCTTTATAGGATGCCATGACACTATTCATAGTGTCTTGAAAATACAAGGAATCTTCAAATTATATCAAATTCTAGGTAAGGTAGTAACAAAGGAATTCTTACGGAACTTTTTATAATATAAAAAACCCAGAATGTGAAATTTCACAAGAAATTTGTGAAAAGAGCATAAAGTGCCTCAAAAGCAATAGGTAAGCCATTGAAAAAAGCAAAGGGATTGCCAGTTTTCAAGAGTGATCTGGTTAAGATTTTGGTTAAGTAATTAAGGAGCAATACCAGTCACCAAGTGAAAACCAATTATCATTGCACCCAGACAGCTGTGCCAGCAGCCCTGGCAAGAACAGCTCTGACTTCACTTCTTACCTGCCATGGGCACCCTGACGCTGGAAACAAATTCTCTCATGGAGCTTTACATCCTCTTACACATCCTTGCTCTTTCCTTCACCATCTTAAGGAATGTTGCACCTTATTTTCTCCCTCACGAAAGATTTTGGTGTCCCCTTTATTTCACAAAATAATGGGAAAAATACCTTGAACAGTCAAAAGGTGGCAGTTAATTTTCATATGGACTTGTCTGTTTGATGACCTAATAAGCCATTTATGGGCCAACAATACCAAGGTTTTTAAGCTGTATCCTCTCCCCCTCCTTTTTTTTGAAGTTAAAGGAAAATGATTGATGACATTCACGAGTAGACAAGAAAAGAAAATCCCCAACTAGTCTCAGCCAAATTACAGACTCGAGGAAAACCTAAAAAAGAGCAGAACATCTCTGAACTAACCTAAAGTTTTTCCAGTTTATAAAGTTGTATTTTGCCTTTGCCTTTTTAAACTATAATTCATTTTTTGCCTAGTTTTAATAAAAGTACCCCCTTATAGTCTGCATTTTGATTTCACAGTTTCTTAAAAAATATTTTGACAAATTTAAAACATCTTAAAAAACATACTTAATCTTACTGAAAATAAACAGAAGGACAGGTCTCCCTACATCTGTATGTTCTTAAGAGTAACTGGAGCAAATTCTCTGCTCACATAATGATAGACTCCTGCTCTTTTAGATTGTCTGAGACAATTAGCTTTGTGCTTGCTTCCCTCAGCAGTGCAAGACAATGCAAAGCAGTTTAAGAATGAGGATAAGCTACGGTTTTCTTTTATATTCATAAAACTGTACCAATGTAATAGCAGGCAGACATTTAAATTGCTACTGGAGATAAAAGCACCCACCCTAGCTCATGTACTTTTTGGGAGTCTGACATGTTCTAAGCTATTTTAAAGTATACCCTGCATTTAAGTTAAGAAGAGTTATGTTACTAGAGCCTAAAATTAGAGAACTAGAGTAAATTAGAGAACACCATGCTCCTAGGCTAAAATACTGTACTATCAACATCTAGCTAGTACTACCAGTAATATTCAAAAACAGAATTTGGACTTCAGTATGTAAGTCATCTATTAAGATTAATTTAATGTAACACAAGCAGAAAAAATTATTGTAGTCATGCCTCCATTCCTATGCAGAACTGGAGATGAACTATCTACTATCTGAAGAATGCAATGTTGCTTAAACAGCAACTGAAAGTGCTTTAGAAAGCATCATCGGCTGAAGGTAATTTAGATGCATTTTAAACAAAGTCTTCTACCCAAAATGTATCTGCTTTCATACTGTGAGGTTGTATTTTGATGATTTGTGTATCAATGTGGCCTGAACCGTCGTTGTCCTTCCCCACCCCTCCTCCTCCAAAAACATGCTTTAGATTTGAGCATATGAACTGCCACACTTGGAGACCTTGCTCCAAATATAGTTAGAGAGCAGAATTACAGTTCTTACCAATACCACAAATGCTTCAGTCAAGATTTATTCCTACACCAACAGGAATTTGCTGGGTGCGTCAGCAGCTCATCTCTTTAACACCTCACACCACCACTGTGAGGAAATTCAGGAACTTGGCCAGGCACTCCTAGAAAAGGGATGCAGCCTCTCTTGCTGTATCTATAGATGTGGATGTTACAACCACATTTGAAAGCTAAATTTTAGCTTTCAAAGCATGCAACATCAGAGCAGGTCATCAAAAATTCCTGCCCACAAATCTCTGATGCACAGTCAAGTCTGCAAGACTCCTCTACCACTCATCCCCTAAGCCAAGGTGTCTCAACCTTGGTTTTAAAGTATCAAGAATTAACAACTGAACAAAACAGCGAAGAAAATCCACAGGACCTCCACTTCTTGGAAGTTTTTCAGTCAAAATTGCTGTTCCAATCATAACCTAGACCTCCAGTATTAAATACAGACAAGAAGCACGAGTCACTCCTTTAGTGTGCGGGGTCTATAATCTGCTGCTGAGGAAAGCAAGCCCAGACCACCCAGTGTCACTCAGTTCTTCAGCAACTGAGAAATGACCACCTCAAAAATTCCTATGGCACTGTGCATCTCCTGGAATACCCTCATTTTGAATACTACAGAGTATTTTGACTTCTGTACCTTGTAAAAAATACAGCAAAATAAATAAAGGGCAGAAGCACAAGCCTAAAGAACAGACTGGCATAAGGTGAGCCTGCAGGTGAATTTTAACTTCTAGAAAAGAAAAATGACAAATATACAGATTTAGGTCTATAAAATTACACACAAGATGGCAAGGAAAACACATCACAAAGTAGCAAATTCAAGTGATCAGGCAGAGGCTATAAAAGAATCATGCTTTTACAGATACTCTATAGTAAAATACTGGATTGCTGGCACAGGATACCGCAGAATAAATGTTACATGTTTTCACATGTATTGTTTTAATTTATTTCCGTTTATTAAAGGTGTCATTAATAAACTTCTTAACTAGATCAGAATATCTCAAATGTTATGGGTTAATAAAATATAGGCTATTAAACCCATGCCATATTAAGGGAAGTATTACTGTAGATATATTAAGTAAGCTTGTGTAATTAAATCATTATGGAATATAGATTATTTTCAATAATTACTGTGCATACAGAGCTATCAAAGAAGCATAAGAATTAGCACAATTCTCTTTAGAAAACATTATTTTAAATTAAGTTTTTGTGGATTTAACACACTGCCAAAATGCACACATCATTTTGAAAATGACATATGCATTGGGCAAAAAACCAACAATTTAAACATGTAACACATGATGCCATCTAAGTATTTTTAGCTGTGTGCCTTAACAAGATAGATTTTTTCCTGCAATATGAATTTATTTTCTATGAAAATGTTTTTGACTGAAAACATATTTTTACATGTAAGGTTGCAGAAATAAATTCTGTCAACTACAGAAAAAAAACCAAAATAGACATTTTTCTTAGAAAAATGCTGACAAGATTCACGCAAAACTGATCTATTCCCTTAGGAATGGTTCTACTTTCTGTTATAAAACAGCTCAAATGTATTTCTTACGCTTTATACAAGATATATGATTTACACATGAAATGTGAAAGTTCTTTCGTCCAGCAATTGTGTTCATGTCACAAATAAAAAACAAATGTCATACAGCAACAATAACTGCATAATCTGCAACTACCACCTCTTTCCTACAGACCATGCCCCTACACTATTTCCTATTTCAATCATGAAGACTTTGCAAATTTTTCTGTAACTTACTATTAAGAATTAGTCTTAACCAGATGATTTTGATTCATTTCTCATTAAATCAAGACGGAATGAGTTGTATCCCATGACCCCAGATAGAACAATTTTATATCACAAAGTGGTGCAGTAACTGAGGGATGTTTTTTTCTGAACTCTGCTTCCAAAAAACTTGAACACTTCAAAACATCTAAAAAATTTTGAAACATCTCTCGCTTTGCTTTCTTTTTTTTTTTACATACTGAAAAAGAAGTTCCTTAAATGTTCCAGCTGTAGGGATAGAACTGAAGACTAAGGCTTGGAAATCAAAGTCACAACTGAAAAAAATAAAAACTAAACCAACCCTTTTTTCCACAAAGATCACAACTGTAACTCACTTAGGATGTCACAATATTAAAAAACACTGTGAAAAGTCACAGAACAAGCTGACATACTTTCACGTGTGACATTTAAAACAGCAACGTTGTGTTTTCAAATTTTAAGTCTTGAAGAATAAAAAATCAACTGAGCATTTCCCAAAGATTTCGGTCAAAAGGCTTTCATGTTTGCAAGGTTGAAAGAACATGCAGGTATAGAATGCCTGTTGGAAAATTTTATCGTTTTCTCACGTAACATTCACATTGTAGTCTGAAATTAATGTATTATCACCCCAGCCTCAGCATCTGGCTTTCAAATAGCAAGTGTAGTTAAAAACCAATGGTTTTTTAGATTGCCAACACCCAATTACAAATACTTGAAACTAAGTGACAAAATACCCAATTTGCTGGTATCTTACTGTTTTATTCACAAAATAAAGAGCTTTGTCTTTCCAAACAAAGAACATAACAGAAAGATTCAATGATACAGTTATAAAAAAGGTCTTACTGAAAATTTGAAAAAGTCTGGTAAAATTTACAAATGCAAACTATCACTTTGTACAAAATCTTCTTTTCAAAGAAACTTCAGTACTAGATTTTAAAATACAGTTCTACCAGCTCGGAAATGCACCTTGATCGCCACAGCAGCCGGGCTTCATTTCCGCCGGTGCGGGGAGTTCTCCCTGCGCCTGTCGTCGCTCCTGCGGGACTCCCTGTGCTGCTGCGGCTCCCTGTGCTGCTGCAGGTCCCCGTGCTGCTCGGGGTGGCGGCCGTGCTTGTCCCGCTGCCTCTCGGAGCCGTTCCTGGAGCGCTCCTCCTGCTCCTCCTCCCGCGGGCTGCCGCGGCCGCGCTCTCTCTCGCGCGATTTTGACCTCTCTCTTTTCCTACTACGATGTCCATCGTCTTTGCTCCGGTGTCTGTAATTTTCATCATCAGACACAGAAGCTCTTCTCTCTGCTTTCTTCAGTTTGGAATTACTGTGTTTATTTTCTGGATCCTTACTTCTTTCGTGGTTCCTATCCTTTCCGCTGTGGTAACCATCTCTGCCGTTGGATTCATCTCTGTGGTGATACTTTGAAACATCATCTCTCCTGTGAGAGTCTCTTATATGTCGGTGATTTCTTTCCGATTTGCTCTCAGTATCACTTCTTTCCTCTTGTTGCCTCCTTCCAATTTTCTTTTCAAGGGATTTCCTTCTCCTTTCTTGTTTTTTCCTGGAAACTTTATCAGATTCTCTATTTTTCTTTTGCGTTCTCTTCCTTTTGGCTTTAGAAACATCTGAAATTATAATAAATTATGGAACTAAGGTTGTATTTTAATTTAGTGCATTAAATCCATTGAACTATAGAAAGAGTTCTAGAGAGTGTATTTTGCCAGAAAACATTTCTGCACATGTATCAGGACAAAGGGTCCAAAATAATGAACTCCTGATTTTTATCCCTGTGCTATCTGCACATGATGCCTGTCTTTTTAAAACCCCTATCACCACCCTCTTGCTGACTTGCACCCAAGGACCAGGCATAGGCTGTAAAGTCATACACCAAAGCACTCTCACAAATAATGTTTTTTCTAGGAAGATGACCCTTCCCAGACTATCCAGTCTCAAAATCATTTACTTTTCCTGGAAAAAAGGAAATGGAGACGAAATACAGCAGATGAGGTAAAATCTCCAACACTATCCCATAAGGAAAAAGAAGTAGGATGAAATGGCTTGAGATAATGATATTACAGCACTGCAACAATGGCCTTCAGGCTCATTTTTAAGTAGAAATAGTGACATCTTTGTCAAAAAGATTAAAACTAACATAGGTATTTCTAAATACACAGTAGTCTCATCTCAGTGGAACAGGTCTTATCCTTCCTGTTTGCTCTTTATCAGGGACCTTTAGATCCCACTTGACAGTATTTGGCACTAAGAGCCATTTACAACAACCATTCATTCACCTTAGTGCATAAACTATAGAATCATATCAGCTGCTTCTCATCACCTTTTGCAAATATCATGGCCATGAACTGATTTATTAGTACATGCATTATCTGAATTGTCTAGTCTTGTGTCTGAACTAAGACTTGCTGACATTCTGTTAAAATGCAATGATGGACCAATTCATATACATTTTAATTCATTATGTTTTTAAAGCATTTTTTCTACACTGTTTTACATCCAGCAGTATATAGGAAAAGACCTGAGAAAGCAAATAGAAAAGAACCAGCTGCTTTGATGGCAGATGTATTTTATCCTCTGCTGGACCTGTTTTAGAACTACCTCCCCAGGGCAGTGCTGAGCTGAGCAAGCTCATGAAGTTCCAAGCATTAACAGGCAGTACAACAGTAATCTCTAACTTAGCTCAATTTCTAATCAGCAGGTTTTCTGTTTTCCTTTCATACACTGCACCAACACTGAAATACTGCAGCACATTCCTCTGGAAAATGCCTCTTAATTCTTACAAGTAATTTTATAGATTTAAAAAGCTGCAAACACAGGAAGACTTTAGAATTATAAGCAGTAATAGAACCTCAACTCAGTTAACCATTAAAGCTTACTGTTATCTCCAATTAGTGTTTTGACCACTATATCAAAGTACACAAGAAACTGAAAAGTGAAAGCAGGCTGCAAAGGTATCAAGATGAGAATTTTAATGAATGTATTCCTCAATGGAGAAAAGGCAAGTAGTAAAAGAGAAGGTCCTAAACTTCAAAAAAACCCTGTTTCTACTCCCAGACTGCAGACTTGGTTTGTCACTAAGGATTGACCCCTCTGGTTCCTATCAAGCAGCTCAGCAGAGCTGCAGCTGTCCCTGCCAGACCATCTGGCTCTGTGCTGAACCAGTGCCTCCTCTGACCCTGTTTGGCTGTCCCCTCCTCTCATGTCGTCACTAATGCTTTTAGCCATGGCACACAGCTCCACCTTGGACAGGAGATTGTGGTGGAGAACAGAACTGCATTTTCAAAGCAATAGCAGCTCACACTGCTTTTAATTTATTCATCATTTTCATTTCAAAGACATGTAATAAATCAAATTAACTTTTGAATCAGCAAACTTCTGCGCTACAGGAAGTCATGCTGTGCTATCATCTGCTCCTGCTATATATACTGGGGGAGACTGCACACACTAACTCATAATAGCAGCTACTTTAAAGATTAAGCAATGTTTATGACAGTTCATGTCTAATAGAAGTTTCTACATCAGCACAACAGTATGAGACACTAAATGCTAATTATAATGCATAAAAATACAAAATAAATTATAAGAAAAAATTAATTCTTCCTTGGAAATTCCTCTACGGACAAGAACTTTCACTATATTGTCATACAATCTTTTCCTGAAGCAGAGGAATTAGAAATAGTAACTCAGATGGAGAACAATATTTAAACATATTTCTAGAACTGGAGAACTGATTTCTGGAAGGGAGAAGGAAGAACATATTTCCAGGGAAAGACACAAGGAGTATCAAGCTCACTCAAGCCAAGAAATACAGAGTTGTAGACATGAGTCACTACGGTTCACCTAAACACACAGAAAATAATTGTGACTGACTCTAATCCCTCAGTCCTCCAAAAAACTGAAGTGCAACAGATATCAATTGTGTAAAAAAAGTAATCTACAAACCAACGTTTCTCAGATATTTAAGTCTCTAAAAATGGAACTGTTTTTCTAAGTACAAATTCAAATATAAGTTTCCTTGAGAAATATTAATATTTTAAAACTTAAAGTTTAAAAAATTGATTAGTTTTTAAAAAAGAGAAATGATCACTGTCTATAGCCAGATTTTCCTCAAAAGAAGTATACACAGAGTAATAAACATGTCTGGAGAAAGAAATAAAAGAAAAGCAAATAGTTGTACTGTTGTGTTTAAATACCTGAGTCACTGCTGCTGTCACTGCTAGATGAGGAGTCACTGCTGCTCGATGACTCTGAGCTACTACTGCTGCTGTCAGAATCAGAATCTGAAGAAGAGTCTGTGTCTGAAGATGAGGAGGAATCTGATGACTCAACATTTTGCTTCTGTGTCATGATCAACTTTGGTGCATTTTTAAGATGTTCCCGTAATTCATCCCTAATTAGCAAGAAAAAAAAAATTGTTCTTAAATGTTATTTTTTGTTCATGGGGAGAGGGAAGATGAAGTAAGTATCAAATGAGAAAATTGTTCCTCACGTTAGTCCTCCAAGGCCAATGGAAGTGAAGAAATTGATTGCAAAGCGAGTGTTTCTTGGGTTATCCCGAGGCATTAATCCCTCAAAGAAAGGCTGCAGTGTCCTGATGAAAACAAACATTTATATTAAACACAATGCCAGTTCAGCACTCCCACTGACATAAAGACACTGAAAAAGAAACTGTATGAATCTCCACAAGAAAGCAAAAATTCTTCCTTCATGCATTTTTCAACAATTTCATTGTTTGTACCTGTGATGCATCCAATCAAATGCTATTAAAAACTTGCTCTCTTATGACAACATAAACTTCACACATAGGAGAGCTGCATACATACTGACAGATAATGATGACAGAAACCCCAACTTTGTGAAGCCCTGAAGTGACTTGTGGAACTGCAGCAGCCTGGGATAGCAAAGGATAACAGGCGTTCAAAGATTAGGGATCCATACTGAAATCCCCTCATACAGGGCCTTAGGGATAGTTTCAAATTTAAGTTTACATGAACTAAAGTATCTACAAAATTCCTCATCATACACAGAAGAAATCCCAACTTAGAAGAAATAGGTCAAGCAACTGCAAGTAACATTGTCAGAATGTAACACATACAGATTTAAAATAATGTTATGTATACTACATTTAAGGATTAGTAAGTAATCCTAGAGAAACTGTTACTAATAGTTGTGTGGTTTTTTTCTAAGTTTTGTCAGAAAGAGAAATCCCAGTAACATTTATTATGCAGCTATACACAGCTGACAATATATAAAAATAAACTCACACTTGGAAATTGTTATGGTAGCTGAGTGTCATTGGGGGTGGAGGGGGAACAGATACATCTTGCAAAGTCATGCACGTACTTGAACCCAAAATGACAGCAATGCATTCAGCTTCAAAAGTGACTCCTTAAAATGACTAAATCTATACATGAACTTATTCCTGAAGTACTGTAGCTACAGAAGGGCAGTCTCACTTGAGCCTGAACACACAGTTCTTATCTGTATGTTTTCAGATAAAGAACTTAATTAAATTTACAGTTTTGAAAATAAAATTTCAACTTACACATCTTTTAATCTTGCATTCAGATTTGGAAGTCCCATATATTCACTGAGTTCCTGAAAGAATATTTTGACAAAAATTCTACTGGAGGACGTGGTAGTTTCTTCACTCAATATTATACATTCAAGGACCTGAAAATATTCAGAAAAGCATTAACCTTTAAGTTTAAATATACATTCTTTTCTTATCTTAGAAACTTCTGTCCTCCTGAAATAACTAATAAAAATGATATTTTTTCCCCAAGGTTCATAAATTCTAGTCAAGACTGTCTTTCTCAAAAATTCTTTTCCACCACACAGTAGAAAAGCTGCTGATCGTATTTATATTAGTAATTCTTTAAGGATTTTTTTTTTTAATTTAGAAAAGCTCCACAAGACAAAATCAGATGCATGAACTTCTGGCAAGTTAAGAGATTTGGGACCTAAATACAGGAGAGGTAAAATATTTGGTCTAACTTATGTGTGCTTGAAGAATGACAGACTAGGCTACGAAACAAGAACAAAACAAAACGAGAAGTTACCTTTCTATATAATAATATATCTCAGAATGTGAGACTGCTTTTATTCACTAGGTATTTAAATAAAGAAATGACAGTATTTTTAATTGTCTTAAAATTCAATACAATTTCTAATTTATCAAAATTTAGAAGCTCAAAACTCTTTTCCCAAAATAAGTACTTTTTAATTAACCAATTCCAGCTGAACTCCCTACAATAATAGCTTAAACCATCTACTCAAAAACTGAGAAAGAGGATGATGATATACAAGAGAGAAAAAGGAGATGGAACAAACCAGAATTCTTCAACAGTTTCTGAGAAGTTACTTAAGATAATCCAGTTTGCCACAAATCATTACAAATAATAGAATAATGTAATAATAATAATAATAATGTAGAATAATACTAGTATTAATGTACTATGCTACTGTGGAGTACTGGAGATCAAGGACAATGGCCTTTTGTTTTAACTTACACTCCAGGGAATTGAATCAGTGTACAGGAGATGAGCAAACATCTTGGCCACATTCCTCAGTTTGTTGGTTTCCAGACGATGAATGGTATCGTACTGTTCCTTGAAAATGGCTTCAAAGGACTCCATATATTCTTTCTTTAGCATGCAGAAACGCTGAGACAACATGGGACAATTTAAACCACCATTTTAAACAAAACACTAAACATGCAAATAACCTACAACTAAGTGACCTAATAGTGTCAATATTTACTGCAAGACTTCTATTTTAAATAGACCTTAGAGGAAGAGCAAACACTCAAAATGGATATATTTTATAGCTTTTAGCAGTTTGTCAGGACAAGAAACTCATTTGCATTGCAAAGTAATAATTAACAATTCTGAACTACAGCAAATCATCCAGCATTTTGTATGACTTCTACACATTAAGTATTTTCACCTGATACAACTCCATGTGTTTTCAGGACATCACCAACTACTGTTTCAATTTATACAGGCATCAGGAAACAGAAGTAAAGACATTTTGGACATAAACATTTCAGAGAATACAAAAATCAACATTTACGTTAATCTGAACATGCAGATTCAGATGGTTAGTGCTTTGTAACTGACTGTCAGTAAAAGAATTTCCCGAAATAATGGATGAAAAATACAAATGAGAAAAAACATTCCCTTTCAGCACAGCTTGCTCCCTTGAGAAGACAAGTATTTAATCTTAACTCTTCAGACATGTCAATATTATCGATAGGGAAACCTTAAGAAACGAATAACTGCAGCTAAATTAGCAGTTAGATACACAAAACCAGAGAGTTAGCTGTTTATTGAAGAGCAAACAAAACACCCCCAAGCCAGGACAGTAAGTATTAAATCTTGCACTCTAAATTAAACCTACTAAGCAGCTTTGAACAAGGTGGTAAATGTCTCCAAGATTAATCTTCAGCACCGTAAAAAGGCTATTTTCTGATAACTCATAATACTATTATGTCTTTTTAGTACCATTTCTTTGCCACTGATTAATTGTTCTACCATAATGAGAAAAAACGGAGGCAAAATAAGCAATAATATAAAGGGAAAGCGAGTTCTCTCATTCTGCATTTACTATGCTTTTTACAATCAAAGTGTTAATTCAATCTACTAAAACAATCAAGTAACGTAAGCATTTTTAGAATGATAAAAAGCCTATTAGTTTTATTTATCCATTAAAACTTAAGTTTGACACACAAAAAATAGAGTAAAACAATGCAATTTGCTATCATAAAGTATAAAACCTGAAACACAACTCACCCCTGCCAGTAACCCAAAGAATTTCTCGTATGTTCTTTGCTGAGCACAGCAGTCAAGTATCATATTGCAGAGTTCTTTCTGGGTTATGAAAAAAAGAATATTTCTCTAGGTAAATTCACTGTAGCAGCAAAAAAACCCATCAGTACATACCAAGTAACTGCAGGAGGCCTTACATGGATGTGAGCTTTGAAATGAGTATTTACATCAAACTTCATTGGCAACACCAGTAGTTTTCTGAATTTCTCTGGGACATAAGTATGAACCTTTGCCCTTCAAATTTCTTCTTCTGCCTAAACTAGGATTTATGTGTTAACACAATGTACATCTAACCAAAAAAAGTCAGAACTCATTTACAAACTGACTTTACCACAATGAAAAAAAAGGAGTTACAAGATAAAAAGTGAAGGTTTTGAGGGTTTCTTTTTTGTAGTTTTGTTTTTATTTGTCAGTTGCCTCTTTATGTGTTTTAGGGTTTCTTTTTGTTTGTTTGAAACAGCACCAATCCTTGCATTTACAGAAAATAAAAATTCTTTACAACTTCCAAGTGTCAAAACGGCCTACAGACAAACCACTCAGAAACACAATGTGCATTTCTTAGCAGTTATTTCCAAAATCAGTAATATCTGTCTATGTTGGTATACACTAATACCTTGAACTATTCAGCCACAATTTGCCTGACAAGCCCTGCTTAGCATAAGCAAGCAGAAAGCTGAGTTTCACTGCAATGGCTCAGCCCTGAGGGAGACATTTAGAAAGACTAAACTCACCTTTGGGAGGCCAATATGCCTGGACTTCCTCTCTAATTGAGAGAAGAAGAGAAACTTTTCTAAAGCAGCTGGTTTAGGCTGATTCTGAATCACCCTTTATAGAAGAGCTTCCCTCCTTCTTGGCTAGGAATGAACAGAGGAAGCCTAGCTAGATTAGCCTCCCAAAATGTTTGTGCACCCCCATCATCGACAGCCTGCCTTGCACTTTCCTGTCTCCGTGGTGACCATGGACGGAAGAAGGGAAGATGCTCTCCCGTTCCACAATGCCAACTATGTAGGACAGGTAGTCCAGTCTTTCTGGAATACAGGATCTCTGGCATCCTTCCTCCTCGTCTTCCAACACCACCACCCCAGGATTATTATCAGATCAACTTCTGGTAGCTGCCTCTTCCTCTCCTTTCAAACCCAGCAAACCAGGAACCAGAAGGAAACACTTTGTACCTCACCTCTTGGGCCATTCATTGGCTGAGAGCAGAGGTCCTGGCAAGTGAGACCATGCAGGTTTAATTCCAAACTTATTCCCCTGACCTTCTGCCTGAGATACAGCTTGTAATGCAGCTGTGAATTGCTTTAGGGTACATTTGGCAACATTAATTAAGGCAAGTGACCAAATGTTTTTATATAAATTAAAAGCCATGAAGTAACACAATGCTTAAAATAGCCCTGCTATTTTTTGCCCATTATTTATTACTTTTTTTATTACTGTTTTCTCCTAAGACCAATTCCATAGTGTAATCAAATTTATGACACTCCCAAATAGGTTTCTGGCTCTCAGACAGTCAGACTAATAATCTTTAAAAACTGCTGGATGATTTCATACTGGATTTCATATTCTCCCACTTGAGTCATTCTTCCAAAAGACTATTCAGAAGAAACATTTTTGCCCATCATAAAAGCTCAAAACAAATAAAAAGGCAACCATGCTGAACAAGAAAACAAACCACTCCTCCAAATAAAAAGGCAGTAATGTATCAAGTAAACTCACAGATGCGTTTAAAGACATTCCTTTTAACACTGTCACATAGTGTTAATATGATGTATTAAAACGCATATTAACTTTTTATATTATCCCATTTTACAGTAATGCTGCAGTTAATCAGTTTTTAACAATAAAAAGGGTAAAGTGCTGATGCCACTTTTAATAATGTCAGGAAGAGTTGAAAAACAAATTACTTTTCTTCCTCATCTTAAATGCAATTATAGCCTTGGTATCCCCTGTGGTTTACAGTAATTAAATATTTTAACATTTTAATTAAATATTACAATGATTTCTAGGAGGGTATCTTGAATAACCACATGCATGAGAATAGGCTTGGTCATAAAGATGTTCTTGCTGGTGTTATCTAAACAATTTGAGATTAGGTCTCGAGTAACTCTATTCCAGATTTGAAATTAACAAACTTTACAATTATTTAATTACTTTTTGAGAGATCCAACATGATCAGATGGCAATTCTAGCTTAATTTGCAGCTTCAAAAGTTCGTGAACTAATTTCTGTACTCACAATGATGTTTATGGCATGAAGAGCCTGCTATCTAGCCCATCACTTTTTTTGAAGACCACAAAGAACTTGTTCCCCAATTTTACAGGCAATTTCTATATTGTGTTAACTGTTTTCTTAAAATGCTCAACAAGTAACTACTCAGCTTAGTAAAGAAAATATACATAGCTATCTCATAATGAAGTAAAACACTTCAAAATATCTGACATCTCATACAGATGGTGAATCATATTTTGTGAAGATCTTGAATTTATTATTTTATCATAGAGAACAACAGCACTTCCCTAAACTGCTACAACCAAAGATAAGGAGAAAGCTCCCTCTAAATGCACTGCATTTCTCACAGTTCTCCCTAAACAGTCTCTATCTGCTCTTACCCAAACAGAATAACAGTTTAGATGAACCATGACACAACCTAACATGGCAAGAATCATCATACATTTAAAGATGCTAAAGGAAAAGACAGAAAAATCAGACTTGTTTTGGTTTTTTCTCATGGTTTTACAATTTTAAAATACAAGCACACCCTGCCCAATCTATCTTCTCTCAGCTTCACACAAAGGCTGTGTTCATGGCAGGCAGAAGAGCTACAGTAACTTATCCCCTTCTGATCACAGGCTCCTTTCCACAGCTACTACTTCCCACCCTGCCCCTTCTCACCATTTTTTGCAATTTCTGTAAGATTTGCATTCAGCCAAGACTGCAGTTTCAGAGCTTCCCCCCAGGCTGCCTCCATGTGGAGGTCACTTCTGCTCTCCTTGGCTGGAAGTGATGCCATTTCCAGCTCCCTTCCCTGCCAGCCCCACAGCTCTGTTCCATTGTGTATCCACTGCATACACAAGCTAGAGCCATCATGAGACATCCCCACCCTGTAAGCTATTCTTAAAATGTAACATTTTCAATGTCAACACTTCATTTCTAGAAGTTTCTTCATGGAACTAAAGGAATTGGTTTGCCAGAAGCAAGCCTAGTGCAGGCCTTAGGTTTGTTTAAATCAATGTGAAATTGGAATTATGTGAAACGAGTGCCTTGCATTTTACGTATTTTCACTGCTTTTTACAGACACCACACTTCTTTTTTCTCTTTTAATTCACGGATGTGTATTTTACTCCCACTGACTACCTTAAAGCTTTCCTTACTGATGCATATTTTAATGGGTGTAACCATCACACAGCCCACCTTTCCCAGCATCTCTGCTTTCTCTTCTTGATTTGTCAAGTTACCAGTTAGAGCCAAAGCTGACAAAGCCATGGAAGGCATTTCAGCAGCAGGCAGCCTCTTGTCAAGCTATGTGCAGTGCTTTTAGCAGCTACTACCAAGTCTCCAGGTCTGTCCTGTGTTCTCCAACGGTCTTCCTCAACTTTTGTCCCTTTTTTCGCTCAATCCCTTTTCTGTTTAGAGCAACATACGCTTAAAGCTGAATATGGTTAACACAAATCTTGTGCAAATCAGACTTAATATTTTACACAGGAATCATTAACTGGATATAAGGATAGATATATTTTAAATCATGCTGCTACTAGTCTGCAACACACAAACACACACAAAAATTAAATCATGCATCAAAGTCCCACAGTATCTCTTTCCTTCTACCTGAAGGCTGCACATGCAAAACTTCATTTTAAGTGATTTCACTGAGCAACTCCACCTCCTTCAGTGGAACATCAAAATCTAGGCTAATGCCTGCTATCAGTAACACAACAGCCTAATTCTGTGTGGATTCTGTACCTTCACTTTGTAGACATCAACAAATACCATAACATGGTATGTGCATGCAAGGTACTGATAAATCATGGAAATTTAGAATGATCCTGCACCTCAGGCCCACAGAAACCTCCTGCTTCAAAAGACAGGAAAGCTACTTGAGGATGATTATCTTTTACAGCCAGTAGCAAGGCTGTGAATTAATCATGGGGCAGTTGCTAAACCTACCAGCTGCAATGCCCTCCAATTAGAGAAGAAATTAATGTATCTAAGAAATCATCAATTTGACCAAAGCATAATTATCAGCCTTAGACCATCCTGCTCTACATCAGTTTCCTGAACTATATTTTCACTTAAAGTGAAAATAGTCAAGCCAGCAGAAGTACTTGTGTTATTTTCAAGACTCAAGGCATAAATAACACGAGACACTGACACTCCCACACCACCAACTAGGACTGCTTTGAGCAAGTGACACCACCCTGTAAAAATGAAGATGTGTCAGATGCATGCATAATTCTTTCAAGAAGGCTGTGCCTGCAAGAATACTTCTCATTTCAAGTAAAAAAACAAAATCTGGTGACGCATTACCGTTAGAAGAGGCTCTAATTTAATTTAGTAACATTTCTGTATACAAGTTTAGTTCTTAAAAAAGCCTAAAGAAGAAAAGCCTAAAAGCCAATCCATGTTAGCCACTTTTTCAAAGAGCAAGAACAATGTATGGTCGGTTTAATTTTTTTAGTTTTCTGCATTTCAGATGGGCTTGTTTGCTTGCTTTTCCCCACAGTTCAGCAGCCAGAACAACTGGTAATACCACACTCCTCTAACTACAGTTTTAATTTATTTATATTTTCTTCTTTGGTAATACATGGGATTAATACAGCTATAAGAGATAATAACAGTACTTTTTTAAAAAAGCGAAACAGTGAGCTCTGCCAGGACTGAACATATGCCCAAAGCAAGGCTTGTTTAGAACAGCTTTGCACAGACAGCAAAGCTATTTCACTTTTGATCTGCAGGCTTCAGCTGCATCTAAATAACGTGAATAAAAGCAAACCCACTCCTAGTAAATTTACTTAGAAATGAAAGAACACTTTAAATGTTAAAATAAACCCAAACCCCACAAGACTGCTGACATCCCTCCTCAGCAGCTGGCCCTAACTGCAATGCCAAAAAGCAGTATTATGTTGCTCCAGTCCACAGATTATCCATCTGAACCTTAATCCTCTTTCTGTGAGTCAGAGCTACGTGATAGATCCATTACTGGTATTAAATAGACAATCAACAGCAGTTAATGTGACACGATGATCTGATAATTCAACAACTGGTAAAAACTGCTACTGTATTTCTGAACTTAACCCTGATAAACCACACCAAAAGTTTCTACACATTAAGATTTCTGGAAGAGTTACCCAGAAAGATATCATTAAGACTGGATTAGTCTTAAACGTGTTGCTTGCATTTGTCTTTAGGTTTCAGATATTCTGACTAGGTTTTTGATTGTATTTAGTTGACAATTTACTACTGAAAGCTTGTGGAAAACAGTCTTTATGACAAAATTAAATACATATTGCTTTATTAAGTAAGCCTTTCAGAAGAAAAGCAGAATGTTACTGTAAAATCAGACTTGATTTGAATAAAAATTTTGCAATGAAAATCTTAAGTACCATCTGATTTTTAAGGAATACTTCAGCTAAATGCTCTAGTTCCTGCTTCTCATGATGACTGACATGCATAGTAGGAGTTGGAACAGAGAATGAGCATAAACAAAGTTTGCAGGTTCACCCAAGAGTTCAGCAAACATTTCAGGAATTTCTCAAGATTGTTTAAAGCTTTGAATCAGAAAGTGTGAAGAAATAAGATGCAACATCCTGCAATACAGATTGCTGGAGACAGACTGAAAAAGAAAGAAGTGATTTATGGCTAAAATAAGAGTTAGTAGAGAATTATAAAGGTTGAAAAGACCTCTAAAAGCAAGTCCAACCATAAACCCAGTGCCACTGTGTTCACCATTAAACCATACCCACACGTCTTTTGTACACTTCCAGGGATGCTGATTCCACCACTCCCTGGGCAACCAGTTTCAGTGACTGATGACCCTTTCAGTCACTAAATTGTTCCTAGTATTTAATTTAAACCTCACCTGGTGCAACTTGAGGCTATTTCCTCTGGTGTTGTCAGTTGTTATCTGTGAGAAAAGACCAGCCCCCACTGGCTACACCCTCTTTTTGGGTACTTGCACAGTGATAAGGTCCCCTTTGAGTCACCTCTTCTCCAGACTGAAGCAGCCCAGCTCCCTCAGCCACACACAACAGCCCAAATGTGGCCTCAGTCCCCAGTACAGAGGGATGCCACTGCCCCTGTCCTGCTGTCACGCTATTCCTGATCCAGGCAAGGATGCCATTGGCCTTCTTTGTCACCTGGGCACTGCTGGATCATGTTCATCTGCTGCCAACCAGCACCTCCAGGTCCCTTCCTGCTGCTGGGCAGTTTTCCAGCCACTCTGCCCCAACCTGTAGCTCTGCCTGGGGCTGTTGTGACTCAAGAGCAGGACTCAGCACTTTGCCTCACTGAACATCACACCAATGGCCTCAGCCCACTGACCCAGCCTGTCCAGATCCCTCTGCCTTCCTGCTCTCCTGCAGATCAACACTCCTGCCCAACTTGGGGTCATCTGCAAACTCAGTAATAGCTTGTTTTTTAATGAAGGCAGAGGGAATTAATTCAATGAAGACTTCAGTCAGAAGACAGTAGCTTGAACAAATAAAAGGTGATTTTTCTAGCTTAAAATCTGGCAGATAACTTAAACAAATTTCCTGCTGAATGTATTGTGGTTTTTTAGCCACGTGTACAGACTCAAGACTCATATCAACACTCAGACTCTTAGAAACCCCTGAATAATTTTACTGCCTACATCTGCTTATACTTTTTGCTCTTACAATGATCAGGAAGTGTCTTTTTTTTTTTTTAAATTTTTGTCCCCATAAAGGAGCTTAATTCTATACAATGAGCAAGTCAAAACTCTCACGGCTTTGATTAAATGAGGTGAAGAGTAGTTAGGACTGTTAAGGAAAAAAAATCAGTACAAAGTAGAAGCATCATGTGATAAGAGGACGCAGTTTTACAACAGTTTTCAATCTTGAATTGTAGTAATTCCTACAACTAGTACTGAATCACAGGTTGATACTAATTGTTGTGTTTTTCTTTTTCTTTCCCTTATTTCTTCTGAGCAGCTTTTGCCCACAGAAGTCAGCAGCTGACAGAGACTGCCATGGTATTAAATCCTAAGAGTTAAGTAGTTCTCACCACAAGCAAGTAGTGTTATGCATTATAACTCTGTTGTATGGTCTAGTACACATATTCTAGATTGTTTGCTCTATTCTTTGTAGCTGAATTGATTTACTGGGCAACAGGATTTTTTTTTCTCTTTAGAGTTCTTCAGGTTATGCAGAATTCACTGAGACATATAATCTTATGCATGCTTAATATTGCATTTCATGCACAGAATTAGAGAACCAGATTTAAAAAAAAATCACAATCTCACTTTGTAGTTTACTTCCATGTAAATTGCTTAGAAACAATCAACAGTACAAGAATTGAAAAAAAATAGGTAAACAAGTCCTCAAATAACACCTAAGTGTAGGCCAGATCACCCCTTACCAGTTAGTATTATACTGAAGTTACTTATTACACACACTGTTTCAAATAAAACTGATAATTAAAGCCACAAGAAGTTAAAAAGCCCACCCAAGTGCAACTCCAATGATGACAGCTTACAGCTGTCTGAAAAGCTGGTTGGAGAATTAGATGTGTATTTACATTCTACTAGTATTGAACAAAAGTACTAGATGAAGAACGGGTTCCATTACTTGAAAACACAGCAAATGCATTGATCTTACAGGGTGTGAGGAAAAAGCAGCTTTAGTCTCATGATTTCCAAAATTACAGCAATGACTCAAAACTACTTTAATTCAATATCCTGTTTATTCAAAGACTTACTGTGAAAGCACCAAAACAACACACTCATAGCACTGTGCTAAATTTCAAGCCCCACTGATAAAGTCTACAGCTGCCTGCAAATATGGTCTTCAACCCAGAGTCCTTTCAGAGACAGAACTCTGCCATGCTGCTGTACTCTTGTCATAGGACAGAACTTTCCCCAGTTCAAACAACAGGCCTTTTTAAAAGGCCACGAGCAAACATTTGTGTTGCTTGACAGAAAGGAGCACATGCATAGGACAAATTGCTTATGAAATGCGTGTCAGTCTCTTTGCTCTAAACGCTGTGAAATAAATTTTGAGGAACAGCAGCTGTAAGGAATGACTCTCATTCATCTGCCTGCTATACAAACTAGGTCGTGGAACATGAGCAAGGTTTTTAGATACTACCATATTACTGTATCTTTGTAATGTTAGTAACAAGAAGAGTAAGAACAAAGGCTTACAGTCTGACTTTCAGGGAAGTCCATCTTCAGCAGTTTGTGAGCACATTCTTCAAAGTCTAAGCTGAATAGAAGAAATAATTATTATCTGTGCAATATATGCTATGCTAAAAACATTCCAATCCTATATCAAGAATAGTCATTGGTAATAAAACCTCAACAGTTTTGAAGTGAAGTATGTCAGCTGTTTGATTTGCTGAGACTTTATTGCTTTTGTGGCTTTTCAATAAACATTTTGTATTTCATGAGTTTCTCTCTGAAAATTAATTCAAAGTGATTACATTTGCAGGCAATCTGAAAACAAGATGATCCAAGTCATTATTACTATCACATCATCTTACAAAACGTACTAAAACAGAAAAGTGGAAGCTTGTTTTGCACATTTTTAAACACACTGAAATGCAAGCACTTCAGAGCAGCTCCAAAAGCAATATATACCACAGTCTCCTCTGGCACTCCTGTTCTGAAAGCCTTTAGCTACCACTGGGTACATCCTCCCCCCTCCACTTATCAGATGAACAAGTTCGAGTATGGCAAGAAAGTACCTAACAGTTACTCTGAGAAATGTAAGAGCCTTTGATGCCCTCAGTATGGTATTAATTCATATGTCTAGTGATCAACACCACAACTACATCATTGCATTTGTCATGCTGCATCAAACCTGCAGAGTATTATGGGTTGCAAGGGATCAATCCTTCCTCTCAGCCTGGTGACAGAAAACCTATACCAGCAGGTTTGGAGTATTCGTGCCACAAACTGCAAGTGGAGTTCATGACTACAAGCAGACTATACTTCAGGGTTAGTAAATGCATACTTATTTTCCAAACAATGCAGATGGCAAAAAAGAACTCCATCTCAGAAGTGGAGACAAGCCATAGAATTTCTAAGTGTGTCTCAGGTTTTTTTTTCATAAATTGTCAAGATGCTGTAAAATTTGAAGATCACTGACTTCTGTTCACTCAAAAAGTTCTCATTACAGCAATAGTCCCAGTCCACTACCCAAACATTTTGAAACAAACAAGATTCATCTTAGAATGAGAATTTGGAAAACAGTCTGCTTTACAGTCAGGTCAGGCTCCATAACGACTACCTCCCTACCTTTTTTTTTTTCCTTTTAAATTGCACATTAAGACATAATTTCAAAAGGAAGAGAATTACAGTTCACTGACTTCAAAAGAACTACACCCATAGATGCATAACGATGCACAACTTATATTTACCTTGACTGTATAGCCAGATAAATTGTACGACGGAAGGAGACCAGGTTAATTTCTGTTTTGTCATGAACAGTAACTTTCTGACCTGGAAAAGAAAATCCTGGGTTTGTAAAGAGCAAAACATTAAGGAGACACATGTAGTAATTTTTTAGGACAGCTCTATTTACCATTTACCGAGTCTGCAGCACACTGTTTTTCTAGAAGTACTTAGGACTGTTTGCAGGTTTATGTATTTTTATACATAAGAAAAAAAAACAACAGTATTTGCTTCATCTTTAACAAAGGTAAATATTTAGAGGCAGTTTTAAAAGTGTAATTCTTTTAAAGACATTTCATGTTTCTTAGTCACTGCAGCCTCTAGGTTTAACATTTCTTCTTAACATTATTAGCAATCCATTTTCTGCACTATTTAGCTATACAATGTTTTATGCAGCATCTCTTTTTGCAGGTAATTCTTAGCTCCTGTTAGTTGTAGAATCTACATTACAGCATTCAGCAAAGTCCTGGAGAAGGCAGAAAAAAATTCATTCTGAACCAAATCACTTGGATTTGTAAAATATTCACTATTCCTTCAGTCTTTTAAAGTTTGGTTAAAGCATAGAAAATGAGGAATTATGTGAATGTTCATACTTTTTATGAGCATGGGAGCTCTGCTCTTCTGTGAAATACTCCACCAAACTAGTAAGGAAATCCATTCCTGGGATTCTACAGGAACATTACTTGACTGGCTTTTCCATTACTCATGCAGTCTGCACAAAAACTTCAATTATGCTTATCCATCAATGTTTTTTCCTGGGAATTGAATACATTCTTGGAAAATAAGTAAGTATTGTCTCTGCTGAAGTGAGATATGGAGGATGTAGAGCCAGTTGTAAGAAAATCCATCCTAATTTTGAAAGTGACTTAAAAATATGATTGAGCATGGAAAAGTTTAAGCAGGAATTTTCATTTTGCTCTTTTACAAATCTCAGGTGTGCAAGACTTTTCTCAAAGGAAAGATACGGTCATGAATAATGTGGCAAAGTTGCTTTTCCTTTTCTGCATGTACTGAATGCTTCCTTTCAGACTTTCATACTGTTTGCTAGTAAACACTTAGATCTGAGAATAACTGAGGAGGAAAACACTGCTTAACATTTGAGCATCTCAGTTTTGCAAAACATCTAAGAAGTTAAGCTTTTTTTTCCTTTTTATCTACATTCAATCACCTGCTTGTAAGGTGCCAGTCATACACTTACCATCTTCATCCTCCTCTTCATCATCTTCTTCATCTTCTTCACTACTTCCAGCTTCTTGATTTCCTTCAGATTCAGTGTCACCTTCATCAAGAATTTCTGAAAGAGCAGTATCTCAGATTAACAGAACATAGACCACAGTACTTTCATTACAAAAATCCCCTTGATCCCACCCCTGAGGAGTGAAAGGACGTCTCAGGTACAGAATGTGGAAGAGGCCAAAAAGCAGATATATCGGAACTTAATGGAAATACAGATAGAGAAATAACACTGAGTAGCACGAACACAAAGGAAAGGTCTGTGAACTGAATGACTTTTATAGAACAGAAATATCACCCACTGTTAAATAAATGTTGGCAGCAACAGCTGAATAAGCAAATGCCACAGGTAATGGATGTGTATACACACAAATATCCCTACCTTTCTTTAGCATTTTGTATTTCTCTTCATTTTCCATAAAGTTTGGATCCATCTTGAAGACATCTTTAGAATAAAAGAGAATCTTTATTTAAAACACAAATTGAAGATAGCTATTAATATTTATCTTAAATTTATTTTCTTGAGGAATGCAGTTAAGAAATTATCTTTCATTTCTAACTTACTAAGAACATCCTCCGGGTTGTAGTCATCTTCCAATGGCAACATATGAGTAAACTGATCCTCCTCTTCCACTAGATCTAATCCCTCTGGAATGATTGGATGATCCTTGAAGCCATCCTTCCGCACAGCAAACATGACTTCTATCATGTACTGAACACGCATATCGATTTTAGATTCGTGCAGAATGTGTCGAAGGCGATCGAAGATTGCTTTGGAAAAGAGAGAAATGTAAACATGAAAGGTATGTACCAGTACCAATGCCAAGATAGGTTTTGGCTAACTGTACTTACCATTAATACCTCTAGGAGAAACTTCTGTTAATTTGAGCCCACTCTCTTTAATAAATCCAATTGCTACTTCAATACTGTCATCAGTAGGCCTTTCAAGTAACAAAGTGAGCATTTCCAAACATAAAACCTCATGAGCCTGTAGAAAGAGTATCAGCAAAGAATTAGAATGCACAGTGTTACTCTATCACCACAGTCATTACTGGACAGACCTGTCCAGCCTTTGAGGATGTCACGACACATCAGTTTAATCACACACACAAGGCAGCAGTAGTGGGGCAAAGCTGATTAAGAGAAAGCAAAAATTTCAAATCCAGTTTTACCATCAGTATTTACACCAATTTTCTAGTGAATATGACTGTTCTATTAAGTGAACAAGCTAGCAGTGAAAAATATTTTGCCATTAAAAAATTAACAGAATGCATTTCCAAAAAGCAAACAAACCAGCACGTGCATGACAGAATCCAGTTTTAAGTGCATTGTATCTATAATTAAACAAGATCTTCCAGGATCAGTCATATAAGCAAATCACTCATCTCAGATTAAGTTCCTCTTTACCAAAATGCTGAACATTCCCAAAACATTCCTAAGATACTGCTTCCTGATGTTGTTTAAATTAGAGCATCCTGATTTCTGACACATAATCAAGTGGAACAGAGCTGGATATAAATTTGATTTAGATGCAACTGAGTCCACTTCTGCTAACACACATGTTGCAAGAAAACTGTTTAAGATCTGTGGGACAGAGTCTCAAATGATTTTTGCTTTCCATCAAGACATGCCTGAAAACAAGCCCAAACACACACATGAAATCTTGGGAAGCTCTGGAGCATAAGTGCAATGATAAGTGGTGATAACTGCATAAGCAATTACCAGTATCTTTTATAAAGAGATCTTAAAGCAGGAACCACACTCAGGCCTTCAGCAACTTTCAGAACAAAGAACCTTCACTTAGGGTATTGCTTTCTTAAAATAAAAATTAGCCATATAGGGTTTGGATTGAGTAGAAACAAAGAAACATACCACATTCTGATTCATCAAATGTGCAACGAATTTTGAAGATGTTAGACAGAGTTGCTGCAAAATAAATAAAACAGGAAATTTTAACATATGGAAGAAGAAATTTCTAACCCGACCTACTATAGACTAATGCATCTCACAAACAAATTAAGTGTCATGAAACTATTTAAGGATACTGGTAGTTGTTCTCAATTAGGACTGCACACACAAAAATAAAAAATTAGAATGAAACACCCCTGCCCAACTCAAAAAAACCCAAACTATCACTAGTATCAATCCAGAAAAGGTTGCCAAACTTTCATGATACTCTAATACTACTAAATGTCCCATGAACTGGTCCTGACCTATGTCTTGGCTGTGCTCCTTAGTACACACTTGACACGGTTACACTGCAGAATTCCACATTTCAGCACGTTGCTCCTTTACATCTTACATACCTTGTCATTTCTGCGATACCCTTTACGAAAATTCAGTATCAGCCTCTTGAGGATCAATTCACCAATATTTGGAAACTTCGAATTGATAATTGCCACAAGAGCTGCATAAACATGAGTAAAAATCGGAGAGGCACTCTGAGCTTGCAAAATGGATCTAGACAGCAATCCCCTGGAAAAATAAATAAGTTTTAAAGATCTTTCTGGTAATAAAGCATTTAATGCTTTTATTTCATACTTACCACACGAAACAGTGTTGTGCAGTTGGAATAGCTGGAAGAAATCAGATATCTTTTTCAAACATCATTTATCATTCCACAAATGGAATTTTGCAAAATGTGTTGCACAAATCCGTCTGAACTCAAAGGTTCTTAAACTGTTACCTAATCTTTCACTAAATATTGTTCATATTACAGATACACTTAAAAATGCTAAGCAATGCAAAAAACCATCTTGTATCCTGCAATTATCCCTTTTTTAATCTGAACTTCGTCTGACTATAAAATACTACTTAGAGCCTAAATGAATGTAAACAAAGGACTCATGAGATAATAGTTATTTTATTATTCAAATAATCTCTTTAACATTTATTATCAAGAAAGTCTTAGAAGAATATGTGACTTGCTTCCCCTCCTCTCAATTTTGCTTTTTGCAATGCTTGGAAGCACACTGAATTTGACTTTTGTTGTATTACTCAACTACATGTGGGTGAGGATAAAACAAAACAAAACTCTGAATGCGAATCTTCAAAGGACACACTGATATCCAATTCTACCTTCCCTGTGGTCTATTGAAACTCTTAAAAAAACTCCTACAGAGTAATACATACAAAGTGCATAGGAACCTTATTCCTACCTACATTGGCATTGACAGGTGGAATAGAACTCATTTCATACTATTGCACAAAAATAGAATATTTCCATTTTGAAATTAGTTATTTCTTGCTTTCACTGAAAGTGGTCTGTTTTAGTTCTTATTTATTATCTACATAAAACCTCAGGAAAGGACCTGACAGCCAGGTCAAAGTTCATGTCATTACTTTTAAATGCACCTTTGTGCAAATTCAAGAGTACAGAACTAATGAAGGAGGGAAATGATGCCATTTTCCATATACATTATTTTGACATTTATAAACTGCACAGAAACTTCCACAGACAAGTGCATTCTAAAAATAGTCAATAAAGCAATTTTTAAACTAGAAAACATTGCCAGTATGAAAATTAAATTTTGGGGACACGAAATACAGGCAAGTAAAAAGCCGCCCTACAAAAGCATGAAACTTCATTATTACTTTTAACAGAAATCACATTCAGGAACTATTTGCCCACTGTCCAGATGTTACTTAATGACTTAATTATCTTCTTTTTATGCTAGTTGCTTGATTCTAACTTTCCCATCAAATCTATGTAACACACATGAAAAGTTTTACTATCTGTTTGAAATGTAACAAAATTATTTTTGGATCTACCAAGTTACAACAGTAAAATGGTCTTTACATTACATCAGTAAACAACACTAACACATAACTGTAGTAAAACTTGTTTTGCTAAGTAGTGGCTAAAAATATTATTTGTCCCAGAAAAAAATAACAGAGCACTACAAAAATAAATAGATGGTGACAACTGTAAATTACAAGTCATTCAAGTAAAATGCATTGGGAAAACCTTAAGGAAAGGAAATATACACCATCTGTTGTACTCTTTTATTCCACCAAGCATACAATACCTTTCCCAGGTACGGGATTATTCTGGATAGGACAATGCAGCCTAAGGTTAATACTAAAATCTGACTAACACCCGTACACTACTAATAACACACAGAGAACTGTACACAGAAAGTGTACATGGTCCAGAAGAGCAAAAGAATTATTTTAAAATACTAAGGCTTACCTTCCCCGAACAATATTCTCCTGAAGGAGCTCATGAATGATGTTTTCTATATTAGAAACGTTCACTTTATTGACAAGACCATTGATTGACTTCTTCAAGGCTTCCCAACTCATCCTCTGGTATGCCAAGCTATTACAGAGTATCACAAATTAATAATGTATAAATTTGAGCAAATTTATACATATATAGCATGCATTCACATTTTCATTTAATCAGTAAAATAAATTAAAAATATTCTCTGCATAAATGTAAAGACTTGTTCACAATTATACATTCAACCATTAGAAAATCATTAAACCAACATGAGAAACCAAAGTGTAATTCTCTGCAGATATGGTATAAACCAGTACGTTGTTTGGTATGCTGTTTTGTAAGACATTCCAAAAAAATCCTAGGTACATTCAGTATCCTGCTTTCCTTTATAATTTCCACTTTACAGCAGAAGCAGGTAGTTTAATCTGATTCTCTTATCCCTCTTCTGATAAAAACATACCTTCAAAACAATGATCACAACCCTTAATGGATCCCATTTTCCCCAGCATTCTCTAAACACCTTAACTGCTTTGCTTGCAGCAAAAAACTACTATGTAACTTTGAACTCACCTGTTTTTATCAGTGATTTGCTCTTGCATCATCCTGAGCTTGGCAGGTGGAATATATGCACCACCTGTGCGAGTGAGGATTGGATCCACTTCTTCTTTCTTCTTCTTTGACGTGGTCTCATCATTAGCAAGTGAGCTCTGGCCTGTCGACCTCTCTGGACTCCTACGGTCAGGTGATGAGTATCTTCTCTGCTTCCTTCGATCATATTCTCTGTCTTCCCATCTCTCATAGTGTCTGTCTCTCCCCCTTTCCATCCTTCTAAAGGGAAAATAAACACCCAAGTGTTCGTGAAAAGCTTATACTTCTATTCTTTAAAAGTAAGTATTTCATTACTGATTAAGAAAGGGCTCCAGACCTTCCATCTGAAGTTCTGTCATCATAGTATTCCCGTCTTGAATATTCCTCATCATATCTGCTGTCATCAGAGTATCTCCTCTTCCTGGGAGATGGAGACCGAGACCTATCACGCTCCATATCCCTTCTTGCAACACAAGACACAAAAACCTTTTAGTAAGAGGCTGAGAAAACCAATGGTAGTAATATTTACCTGCAATATAACGTAACTATGCAGAAATTCCAATTCTGCCATGTGAGTTTCAAAATATGTGTCACTCCAATAAAAGGGTCTACTTTAACAATAATTTGTCATCAGGAAAATATTATCAAAAATCAAAGAAACACTGTAAAAGAAAGCTCCAACAATCTGAAATTAAATGTTTAATGATAATAACATCAAATATCAATGGTAAATTCAGCAGCTTGCATTCCTTGGAACACACATATTCCTTTGTTTCTACTTTTGCCTGTACAGCATGAAGCAATCTTGCCCAAAAATGGTAACTATGGTATCAGCAATATGTGACTTCAAGCAAAAAGCTAGCATGTAATTTCCACTTTCAAGTCTCATGATAATTTAGCTAAACACTAACTTTTAGTAACAAATCCATTTAATTACTGTTATAGTGACACTCAGGTATGTTATTAAATACATTTGCTACACTTGCTTTTTACCATTTAGTTACGGTAGTAGATATAAAAAGAAACATAACCTGATGATTTTTTTAACTTCTCTCACTCACTATGTGATGTACATATACAGAATTGAAGGATACAAAAATCAGTCATTCTACCTGTCCTCTGGAGACAAACTTTCATGTCGGGAACTGTAGTTTTCCTTCCTGTCGTGACTGGAACCATGCTTTAAGGAAAGAGAAAGAAAAAAAAAATCAAGCCACAACATGACTGTGAGCACCTCTCTAGATCAAAGCGTGCCATGCCTCAGTTCCCACTCCTTTACAAGGAGGGCCATCAAATAAAGCTGATGGCAGTCAGGTATGACAAGGAGAGGTTCCTGGTTCTCTATGAACAAGCAGTTAAGCAGCTGGACACCCTGCTACAGGATGCTGCACATGCCAAAGCTTCCACAGGTTCAAGGCATGGAACAAACACCGAAGAAAAATCCACAAGGGTTACCAAAAAACTTTATCTGGCTCAGGAAACTGCAAACCAGCAGAGTGAGTATGTGGGAAAGTACTTTTATAGTTCCCTATTCCTAAACTCTTTAAGGCATCTGCTGCTAATTACTGCTGGAGACTAGAGTAGATGGACCACTGGTCTGCCTTTCCTGCTTCCTTTTTTCAGATGCTATTTTCATTTGTTCTATTACACGCAATACCATGAACAGAATTCCACCATTTGTTGTTCAAAGACTGTCTTTCTTCTCTCCTAAAAATTCCCTTTATTAAGTAATTTTTCCTTACATTCTCCCTTTTTACTAATCACAATTTATTTCCTCATAAGTCATTCCTAGTTTCATACATTACAAACATCTGAGCTGCACTGATCTACTTGGCAGATTTGCAGGATTGTGTAAGTGATACGCATTTAAACAGCTCACACCAAATTCTATGGGCTGAACCATGACATGAAGTATGGAGTAGAAGTATGGAGTCATACAAAAATCAGAATGTGACAGCATCTACAGCAAACAGAGAGAATTCATTTACATGTTCGTAAACATGTGTAAACAGCAGCATTTGTAACCTGAGTACTTTCATTGCAAGGGTCATCTCTTCCTTTAAAGTATTATTTATGATTTTTCAGAACCACAATCTCACGATGTCACAGAGTGATTATCTGGGAAATAGGAACACCTCACTTGATGCAGAAATTCAACAAAAGCATTTCCTTATGCACCTTGATGGAACTCCCTGCAGCAACACTCAGCTCGTTTGTTGAAGCAGCACCCTCCCCACCAAAGAACCAATTAAAACTCTGGGTGACCAGAATATAATGACACCTCGTCCACAAAAAGCAGAGCAACTATTATCTCAAAAAACTGGAAAGGTGCGTATATATGCAAACAAATAATTGGTTTTTTGAGGCCACTATAACATATCCTAGAATATTGCCCTTCCAAGGGGGTAGTTCAAATTGTTAAAATTACACCCAGCGTAATGCTGTCTGCATCAAGACCATGACACGAAACAAGGGCATTGCATTGTCCACTGGCAGCATGCATCCCTGTAAAAGCTATGTTCACCTGGGTCATTTTAGAGCTACATTATCTTCAACAGCAGACACAGTACAAGAAATTCACATATTCACCAAGGTTTTCTACCCTTTTCACTGCTCATTACACCACAGAGCAGATCACTGAATTTATTCAAGGGTAACAAGAGTCCTGAAGTTGTTTTTTTTCCCAGCACCATAATATAATGTCTGTCTGTAACCTAAGCTTCCAAGAAAGTGGTAATAAAAATCTTTGAATACCACAAAATAGTTACTGCATTTAAATCCTATCTAGCAGATGGAAAGAAGGCAGTGGGTCTTTTTAGGGTTGATCCAATCCAATGGATTCTTCATCATGTGTCTCTGCCCAAGCAGAACCAAAGAGACAAATGTTCACAGAAATAAAACAATGTCATGGCTGTTTCTGTATTTGCCATTTATCACATCTCCTTGCAAAAGAAGCTATACTTGCTGAGGAAATTGTCACCCTCAGCTCTTTGTGACCAGGTTTTCTGCCACAAGTCAGTCCTCTTTCTTATCCATTTTCATTAAAGTGATTAAGTGAAACTGTCCAAACAGTGTGCTTTTGCTAACTGGCTTACTTTGACAGATGAGGGAGCACTACCAGGTGGGAAGAACAGAAGAAGGTATTAAACTGCCCCTCAAGCATCCCTACTAGAAGCCACTCGAGTCAGAAAAGCTGATCTAAAAGAGTGAAGAAGCCTATGCAGGTTCCAATTCTGGGCAAACAGGCAGAGTAATACCACAGATTTGAGGCAGGGCACCATAACAATACTGCTCTACTAACATGTCTCAAACCTGGTATACTTCGCAAACAGCATTTCTAAACTTTTTCTTCTTGCATTTCCAAAAAAATCAACCCCATCCACTCAGAAGTGGGACATATAGCTATTAAAAGGAAAAGTTTTAACATACAGTTGTCAAATTACTTGTTACTTATTGTCTCTGTATCTTTTAAGATTGTTGTTACATTGTTCAAAATCTTTCTCCTCTCCTCTACATGCCTGCACTTACTGCTGGGCCATCAGCATTCAGTCAATTTTGACCAATTATTGTAACATTTTACAATACTATTCAGGACTTTAATTGCAAGGACAACAGCAGCTAGAAATAGTTGTAATTTACTGACTCCTAGTAGTATTTATCTTGTAAACAGCTACTGTCTGTTACACATATTACTTGCTTTGCATTCAGGAAGTTTTATTTAACATAATATAAACTACAAACCTAATTACCAGTGACATGGGAGTGACCAAATCTTATAATTTAGTTTTAAGAACACTTACATTTACTTGTGTCACCCTGCTCTTCATCTTGACTTCCTGCTTTTTACAAAGTTCTCAACGTGCAGCAACGAGGCAATCCAAGTTGGACTTCAGCATATGAAAACCATTTCACCTGTAACACACAGAAGAAAATCAAAAGCTTTCGACTGCACAAGATGCCGGAACACGCACCTTTATTCTGTCCTTTACGGCTATGCTTACACAAGTCCTCAAACCCAAAGGCTCCCCCGGGTCTATTCCGATTTCCTGCGGCCACACAGCGGCCAGGCCGCGGCCGGGGCTGCCGGGGCCCTGCCCACCGACCCCGAGCCCGGCTCCCGGCCCGGGCCCGCCCGCCCGCCGGGAGCCACCGCCCGGCCGCGGCCTCCCGCTCGCGGCGGGGGAGGCCGCGAACCCCGACCCGGAGCTCCCCCGGACCCCACGGGGATGGCGGGAAGGGACGTCCCGCCGAGTGCCGAGTCCCGAGCGCCGAGTCCCGAATCCCAGCCCCTGGCCCGGCCCGGCCCGGCCCGCACCTCCCGCCGCTGCCGCCGCCGCGCACGGCCCGCACTCGTCACTTCCGGCGGCGCGGCTGAGCGCGCGACCGGCCCCACCCCAACATGGCAGCCGAAGGGCCGGGCCGCGCGGCGCCGTCCCCGCCTCAGTGAGAAAGGAGCGCGCCCGCCGTGCGTGCCCGGATAAAAACGGCGGGGCTGGGCACCGCGGGGAAAACACGGCGGGCACTGTCCTGTGCTGTTGGAACGCCTGTGTGCTACAGGGTCTGTTTGAGCTCTGAAAGTTTGAAGTAATTCGGCACCATGGACCCAGGCTAACAGAGAGCCTCTGGCTTATTGTAGGCACAAATGTGTTTGGATTTCGGAAAGTAATTAAATGCATAGGAACGGGATGAAAAAAAGGAAAGTGCTACATAAGGTCTTGAAATGCTTATGGTTCGTTTTCATGTTGTTGTGAGAGAAATGAAAATGAGCTCCTCCAGGACACAGCGGATCAGGGTCAGAAGGCACGAGCCCGGCTCCCGGTGTGGCGGAGCTGTGTTGTGTGCCGCTGCCGTGCCGCTGCTGTGCCCGTGTCCCTGTGCTGCCCCGGTGCCGCCACACCTACTGGGACCTGCCGCTTCTCGAGGGGATGGCCATGGCCGTGAAACGTTCTCAGAGCTGGAAAATGCTAATTTTCTTTCTTTTTGGAGGTTGTTAAGTCAACTTACTTATTCTGTACTGAGCATTAGTGTTCTTAATGTTTTGTCACATCATGTAACACACCTGTAGCACTATTTTCATTGTAACAATAGTGCAGACTCAAATGCTCACTGTCAGAAAAAAAAAAAAATCACAGCATAGTGAGGAAAGGATAGTCATGATTGGACAGATCTGGTCACTGTGGTGCAGCAGTTGAAAACTTAATCCCCAAGATTTAAACTGACTATCTTGCTCTTCTGTCACTATGATCTCAGAACAGTAAGAGAAAAGGAGTATCAGGCCATGACTGAGATTGTGCTATGCAGCACTTTAACTCAGAACCACTTTGGTTTAAACTGATGTACCAGTTCATGCTCCCCAGCACTTGAAACATTCACAAAAATGAGAACAAACCTGTTCTCAAACTTTTCCAAAGGCCAGCAATGCCATTGTAATGTTGTATATTGTCACAGATACAAATACTCTGTGCTCAGGAGAGAATAGTTATTTTCATTTACACTTTCATAAAAGTCAACTTTCTCACTTATGTTGCAATACTAAGCAGAATAGTCAAGGAAGCAAAACACACCTTGCTCAAAACCAACATGGAAATGTTAAGAAGCAATAATCGGAAAAAGTAATTTTTTTTTTCCTGCTTATAACTTGTAGCTACAGGATTTGATTTATTTGGCTTAATGATTTGCAAATGTGGCTCTTACACATGAGACTGGGAGCAGCATGTATTTGGACGGTCATACACGTTCCGACAATGTGAATTGTTAAATGCTTTCACATGATATTCCCTGAACCCACTCCATAATTTCCCATTCTGCTGTGAAAGTAATCCTTTTCCTGCCTCACGCTGTGTAAACAGGTGTCATGAAATAAAAAGGCATATGGCGTCAGTGTGGCAGCAGCATCTCCTGAGAGGGACATCCTGTGGCTGATGGCGCACGTACCACCCCTCAGCCTGCCCCTCCAAATGCCCTGGGAAAGAGAGAGCATGGACAGCTGAGCTCTGCCTCAGAGGGAGCCTGAGGACAGAGATGGGAAATGTAAAGGTCCTTTTTGAGGTGCCTCCACCAGGAGACTACTGATAACCTCTGAGAAACATGTTTGCGATTTAAGAGGGGCTGAATAACTGGGGTGACTCACTGAACAAGAGAAAGGGCATTTAATGCTGAATAGCAGCAGTGAAGTGAGGTTTCCCTTTTCTCCTTTCATAAGTTAATGCTTTTACTATTGGATTATGCAGTGAAGCTCCCTTCTGCTCATTTCTTCCATGCTCTGCTCATCTTACAGCTCTTTTTCTGCCATAGGTCACACTTACATTTTATTCCTCACCAGGTTAAAGAGAGAATGCTTAAATTTTACAGTGGGTCTAGTCTTGTGGTTTGGCAAAATGCTTTAAGAGATGCAAGTTTTAGTTCTGTGAGAGTGAAAAGACAAAGCTTGCACTTCCCAAGTGCTTTAAGGGGGTAGAATGCAGTGCAGGTTGAGTACCCCGATCAGCCTTTTGGAATCTGCTGCACTCAAGATCCTAAATGTACAGAGTCTGAAGTAGAGGCGTGACTGTGGGTTCCAGCTTCTAGAGAGTAAGAGGGATGCAGGCATTGGACACTGGTTTCCTGCCTGCTTTATTAGGAGTAAGGAATTTATACACAGCTAATTCCCATCCAAGTTAATCAGCGTGACCTTTAGCATGCTACAGAATTATAATCTTGTGCAAGGCTCAAAATTTGTTTCCAGATAGCTGTTGCAATGTGCCAGCTGCAGGATATTATTCCACACATCAGCTGAGATGAGAAATCTCATCCTCTGTGGTTTCAGTTTAAGGTCACATAAGTGAGGTGAGTCAGCAAAGGAGGCTGGAGACAACACAGCTGAACTTGTTCAGCAGCAGAGTGGGTCAGGGACATGCAATCCCTACTCTACTGCTACCTTTTGTGTGGCAGGAGTTATCTCCAGTGCAGAGTGTTAAGAAGCAACATATGGGAGAGAAAGAAGAAAGTTCTTACATCACATAAACACCATTGTTTCAGAGGGACCCAATATCCGTGCTCTGCAGTCCCCTCACCATTACAGTTTAATAACTGCTGGAAGATCATGGGTTTACAATACTAAGAAATATCTCTTTTTGATACCTCAAATGCGTGACACTCATCACAGTCCATCACAAAATTTGTTTTTCCCAAGAAAACACCAGCAGACTCCTGCAACGTGTTTTGAAACCTCATCAAAGTGAAGCTATCCCTCTGAGCTCAGTGGCAGGATGATCATATGTGGAACTTCCACACCGTTTCCTCTGTGTGAGAATGCATCACATATGTTTGCTATTATTTTTAATGACAGTCTTTCAGCTGCTTCTCAGAGTAATAAAAAAAAATCCACCCAGCTACTGTTTAAAGCACTTCCTGGTCTGTATCCTAAAATCTGCATTCTTTCAGTTTTGTGGCAATGCTCTTCTCCAACCAGCTTCTGGGACTGAAAACAATTCTTGTCCATTCTAACCTTAAATTAATATACAGAGTAAGCAATTATTCAGAAAAGGAAAGCATAGTGAATGCAGATTGGCAAAAAAAAAAAAGGTAAATTTTTTGCAATGAGTTTTTGCTTGTTAATATTATTAATGTTTGTTTGTTTGTTTGAAGCCTTTCCTACTAAGTGGTATGGAGTGGAGCCAGACGTAGTGCTGCAGGCACAGGTCACTCTGGGCTGTGAACTGCTGTTTTCATGTCCTTAGTTTCACTTTGTCCTTACACACTGCAGAATAATGTTGGTTCCTTTCCACAGTTTCAAGACTTCATCAAACCAAGGCATTATTCTACAGCCAGCATCCTGAATATCTGCCTAAAATTTCAGGGCTACACCATGAATTGAGCTATGTCATCATTTGGCTGCTTTAGATTATTTAGCAACTAAAATCCTTTTTTAGTAACTAAACTCCTTTCAATTTTGTTTTTACTCCTTTGTGCTGATTTTTTTTTTTTATCCTCTGTGAAGTATTTTTTTATCTCCTGATCTTTAAAGGACAAAATATCTCTGCTGTTCTGCAAAGCTAGGACAGTAGACCCCCGTGGTGGGGTCATGATGCTGAGTGCTAGAAAGTGTGTTTGTGCCCAGAAACCAGAGGACAGGCTAATGAATGCACTTTTCCTTCCTGAACTAACCTGGTGATAGTGTCACAATAATGCATGATACAGTAGGTAAAAGGAAAAAAAAATACAGTGTCCTGTCCCTTCTGTCATCTTCCTCCTGCATTTTTACACTGATGTCATTGAGCAGAAGCAGCTACTCATGCCTTCAGCTAAAGGACAAGTTAGTATAGCTGCTTCTCACTGCTGAGCTGACATTTGGATGTTGTGCTCATCTTTCATCTCTTCAACAATGCAGAGGGGAAGGTGTTCTCTGACCAGAGCTGTTGGCTGCTCCCAGTGAATCTCAGGTGAGATTAAAGCACCAACACATGGTGGGTAGATGATATGCCATAATGCATGGAAAGGACAAAACCAGCATGAACATTAATTATTCTGGATTTGTTTGTTTTCTGGATAATTCTTATGGTCCTGATGTCAGGACAGAATATCTAGATGTTGGCAGGACAGTAAGCAGCCTTTGGATTTCCTGGATCTTGCACCATATCCAGCTATGTGAATTAATTACAACAGATTCATAAATTCAGAAGGTTGGTGGAAAACATTTTTTTCAGCATTGAAACAGAGTAACAACAATGAAAAGACCTAATGAAGTATTCACAGGGAGCTTTACTATGTACAGAACGGTAACATACTTGAAACAATAAAAGCAAGAGAGTATAGTAACAAGAAAAGTAACTAGTTATAAACTGAACCATATTTGTAGTAAAATACCTCATTCCTCTGTAACAGCCAACTAGTATTGCAGTAACTGTTTGGTATTGTATAAAACCTGATTATAATAGGTTTTATTGTATAAAACCTATTATTTTCTTGGAAGTGATACATTTTAATTCTATTAAATAGAGGCTCTTCACAATATGAGATCAACTTGTGTTCAAGGTGAAAGTGATCCTAGGATCTTACCTGATTTGTGAATGTAGTTGGTCTAAATCCTGGCAGAGCTTGCACTCTGTGTCCTGTCTCTCATTTTAATCCTTTCAATCCTATTTAATATCATAGGAATTGTTCTTTAGCCTACTCAGAATGTCTCTCTCTTTTTTTTTTTCTTTTTTTATCTTTTTTTTTTTTTTTTTTTCCTGGATCAAAGAGTCTTCTAGTGGTGTGAAATGGAAGAGTTAGCAGGTCAATTGAGAAAAGAAGGTACTTCAGTCAATAAGACAGGTGCACTAAATAGATAAAAGAAATTCCTTTCGAGTGATAGTGACACCATGTATATAATTCAATATGATTTTAAACAAAATACAGACTTCTTGTGTATATATATATACTACAAATAATTAAAAAAAAATTCATAGCAATTGCCAAAATTACTTGTTGAAACTAACAAAAATTGGTGCCAAAGTGTTGATGATCCTTTGGTAGTTTTAACAGCTGTGTAGTTCTGCACACTGTATAATCAGTGGTAAGAGCTCCTGACCTTTTTCTCACTTTGTCTAAGAAAGATCTGTAAGCATTTTTTCCCCTTCAAACTGCTGTGTTATATTACCTAAAATTTTACTGTGTTATCCCAAAAAAGTCACTGTAACAAGCCCCTTTAGGAATGTGTTCATCATGTCACACAATGCATTAGTTAATTATCTCATCTCAGCACTACAGCAGACCTTCAAATTAATAGCTATTTCAAACTATAGGCAAACAGTAGGTGCCTGACTTAATTAACTCTGCCTGTGATGTGATTTGTGTCTTGGTGGTGCTTGTGTTAAAAACGGGCACTGTTTTTCCTATGGCATATGGCATATTTCTCCAAAGGGCTGGGGCACTGCAACTTGAGGAGCAAGATTATTGTTATTTGATGATTTAGTTATCATTATGGTCTGCAGATCAGAAGATCTGCAAACACCAAGGCACAGCTAATGGAGTAAAGCCAAATTGATTGTGCTATTAGTAATATAAATAAAGAAAGAAACAAACTATTCATAGAAATACTAGAACAGATTTGCTGTATGGTCTAAATAGAAAGACTGTATGGTGGGTGATCTGAAGACTCACTGCACTCAAGGAAAAGACTTCTGAATTTATTTTTTTTTTTTTATTTAAGGGTAAATTCTAATTCTAAGCACTGTTTCCTCCCTGCAGCACCATGGCCATGCATAGTTTCTTTCAGCTACCCAGGGAAGGAAATTCAGCCATTCCTTTACTGGAATGGCTATCTGTCTTTGTTGTCCTAATTGTGGTGAAGTATTTACTTCACAAAAGTTCTGGGGACACCATGAGTGCATCTGAGCACTGTCAAAAAATGGTCTTCTTCTGAGGAGTCCTTCTGGACAGAAACATTTTATCTTCACTGTTGGGGGGGAGGGGGGACCACATAAAACCATCACAGTGTTCCCTTGTGAAGGTACAAAGTGATCTTGAAGAGTGCTCATAAAAACCCTGCCTGGATACAGGTGGCACCCTCCATCTGTCACCTCTGTGGCTTGCTGCACAGGAGTTATCCCAGAATAGCAACATATACTTGGATTTTTTACAATTTTTTAAAAAATTTAATTTTTTTTTTTAATATGTAATTGTGACTGTTCCATCCTTTTTCATCATGGTGAAAAGACTTCAACATTTTAAGACATAAAATGCAACACAAAAAATACACGCAAAATTAGTGTTTTTATTTAACTCTGCTACAGAATGTGTGGCAAACTCCACATCAGGAATAGAATATATTATATTATAAATAATAACTGTCAAACAGTTAGCCAATAGTTAATGCTTAGAATCACCCCATGAGTGAATATGTGATGAGCATTAATTATTTTTCATTGTTTTTAATGGGTTTCCTCAGATGTTATATTTGAAGAGAAGCAGTACACTCCTCTTACAGTTGCTAACTGTACCTTTCTATTTTGAGTTGAGTCCTTACGGTTTTTGCAAAGTACCAAATGTTCCTATTTCCTGTGAGAAGGTTTCCAAATGAGCCTTTGGCAATATCTCTGAACAAAGTGGGACGGCTATAGGAATAAACTGGCTTTGCCTCTCAAATCTCCATGGGGCTTATGAGGCAAAATGACTTTAGGAGGGAAAGTAGGTTAAAGCAAGGACAGGCAGCCTCAATCACTGAGCTGAAAAGAAGCATAAATACCCGCCCGATCCAGTATATTTATGACTCAGTAGTCCTAAAAAAGACCACAGGTCAAGAAGCACCAAAGCACCAAGTGACACAAACTTACAAAAGATGTTCCCTAACTGTTATTTGGATGATTTAGCTTTAAACTGGCTTTACGCTATAGAAGCAAAGTAAGAAATCACATTTGATACAATGTTAATATTTGAAAGTAATCTGGTTTTTTGGATATGAATGCTTTCTTTGAGTATGTATGTGCTCCTGCCTGTATATTTTAATAAGGATTAGAGGGTTTGGGGTTTTGTTGTGGCCTTTTTCAAGCAATGGACCATAGGTAAGTGGCATGTATGAGAATTATTATCAAAGATATTGTTTTATTAATTATTTTTAGAATTTCTTCCTTTAGACACAGATTCTCTAGGAATTAAAATGTTTTCTTATTTTTTTTCCTACCTAATCCAATAGCTTTTTTTTGTTTTCCACTGTGTGAGATCTTATCAACAAATGGACTTTTTCCCCACCCCCTACCTATAGATTTAATGAGCTGTTACTTCTGGAAATCCTTTTGTAAGTTCCCTAATATATTGTAGCAGAGCTTCTCAGCTGCAGTTATGAATTACCTTGATTTATTTTGATACCATGACTAATTTTGACTCTGAGGAGTTTTCATAGTACCCAAATTTACCAACAGTAGTTCTGTAACTTATGTGCTATTCTCAATAGTATCACTGTGTATCATTGTGGGAAAATTCAATTCTGAGAACAGAAGCATCTTAATCTTCTCAGCTTTTTTCTCTTCTTTTTGTAACGAAACAGTGCCCCCAGGAGCTTCTTTTTCAGGAAGGGACAATTTAAGAGAATTAAGTCAACCATTCATCAGTATATTAATCTCTGACCATAAAAATTCTGCCCAGCATTGCAACCAGAGGTGTTGGTTTGAAGAACGGTCAAAAGAGTGTTTGTTTTGGTTTTCTTCTTTTATGCCCAATAATAGAAAGTTAACCAAATGACTGAATTCCTCTGATGGTTCCAGATTGGAGAGCTGTGCTATCTTTGCTGGCACTCTGAAGAAAGGGAGGAGGCCGCAGAGATCACTTCTCAGCAAAGGTCTTTATGGCAGGGCTGCTTTTGTCCTTTGCCAGTTGACATCAGGACAGCTGGCAGTGATCTGGGAGGCAGCAGGAAGCCCTGTTTGTTTGTTTGTGTGTGGATAAACAGAGAAGAAAGATAGCATGAAGTGAACAAGAACAAAGAGACTAAACAAGGATAAGCTTTAGTTACAGCAGTCATAAAAATACAAAAACCAAGCCTATTAGGTATTTTGCTAAATTATATGAAATGTATGCAAAAATAATCATGAATAACCTCTAAAACTCAGAGAGGCAGGTTTTTATGATAACCTGAAGTGATAATTTTTTAAAATATTTTTTAAGTGTCAAGAGTCATCACTATTTTTTCTGACCCTGAAAAACATCTACCTACTACAAACAGAATTTTGGTTAGTTTTTTGTCTTTCTCTCCATCTCGTTGCATGGGTTTGCCAGAAGTTGAAACTCATAAATGAAATAAAAACCCCACATATAAGCAAATATTTGCTTTAAATCACTTTCAGTAACCTGTCACAGGAACACCTCAGGACTTCAATCTATAACAGAAGTTTAAATAGTAGGCAGGTCTCCCCCAAAAAATCCTGCTAATATCTCTCTTTAGCAGAGTGATGTAATTTTCTCTGATGTATCTCTACAGACCCTTTTCAGTCAGGTCCTAGGCCCCTGAGAGATTTAGAGGTGGAAGTCAGCACTTTGAACTCTACAATATGCAGAGCTTTCAGACTGGGAAATGTGTGAGCCTTGTGTTGTGATAAGATCTGTGCCAGAGCAGGAATGCAGTAACAGGATAATACTCAGATCAAGCGGGCAGCTGGGCAGGTCAGATGTGGTTATTTCTGAGTTGCACGGATTTGCCTGAATGAAGATGACTATGAGAAAAAGGCAAGTACTATAAAACACACAAAGAAGAAATAAATCAAGGCATTTGTATATACTCCCAAGTTCCAAATAATAAAAGTGTGATTTTGGTTGTGGGAGAGCAGCAGAATGAAGCATAACTCTATGACATGAGACTTTATTCTCTCCATAGGAGATGTCCAGATCCTGCAGCTTCCACAGCTTCATTACATATTCACTAAATATTTTTACATGGAAATTATAAACTCCTTTTGGGTCCCATTCTTTACCTCGCTGAGTTTAGAAACATAATTATTCTTCCTTTTATTAGAATTACAACCAATTAGGAACTAATTATTAATAATATATGTGCTGTAATTTATCTGTCAAATGCATCCATGTACTAATATTTTAATGGCTATACTGGCCTCTCAAATAAATTTAGATAAAGATCTACTCTCTTAATAACCATTTTATGGGTCTTTGTAGCTTTGACACAATGTGTCTAGTTTTTCCAGTCTGTAAGCATAACAGCATGTACTTTAGGGGTGGGAGGATAAACCATCCTCTGGGAAAATTAAATAAATTGGTTTTAGGTGCCTTGTGATAGTTTTAGACACTTTGGGGTGAGTCCTCTGTGTTTTGTGCTTAATATCAACACAGGGAAGTTGTGGTACAGCTAATCATCATGACTTTTCACTGGGCATTCAGGGCATTATTTGCAATGCAGTGGATTTATTTTGTTCTGGTTAATAACCTGACAAATTTCTGAGCTTTAGGAAATATTTCACTATCTAACATTCATAAACATAAAAATAACCTGAGGTATTTATTTCCTAGCATTCAAAATTCAGCATTTGCCTTAAATCTGGAAGTTTGCTCTTTTTAGCTTTGAGCCAGACAAATATGAACTTTGAATAGGTGTATGAGTGAATATGACATTTCTCCGTACAGAAAATAATTCTGCTCTTGAAATTTGCTTTCACTAGTTTTAGTCAACCTTTCCCAGCCTGATCTGGCAATACCAAAAGGTGATCCCACACAGCGAGGCACAGCTGGTTCAGCAATGATCTGCAAGCATGTATGCAATGTTACTCCTACTTGAAACTCCAGGATTCCAGCTTTGCATTTGTTAATTACTTGAGTTTGGGGCAGAGGGGAAGAGGTCTCATTTTTTTAGGAGTATTTGTAACTAATTTCCCTATCTATAGAAGTAATTCCTACTCAAAAATTAGAAATAATTTCAATTGCAAAAACAAGCACTATTTTTTCCCTTTTTAAATTTGATTTCTGTGTGGTAGCAAACTCACCAAAGACAAAATGCTGTGGAAGAGAAAGTGATAATGGATGGTTTTATAAGGGGGTGGAGTGAATTTTACAAAAGTGGGAGAAAGGTGACCTCTGCTCAGAAGCCTCCCTGCTCATTAGCAGGTGGATGTAGTTTAAAGATTCACTGTGGTGCAAAGAAAGAATCAAATTAGGTGTTGTGTGAAGCTGTCATTACTGTGTGTTTCTCTGTACAGTTCCAGCTTAAAGCATGTCGTTCCTTTCATAGCAGCCCCTCAGATTACTGTATCTCATCCTTTCCACATCAAAGTGCTGTCAGCACTTTCATAGTATAAAAAGAACGCAGAGATAATTTTACAATACATTCTCTTCAAACAGATTTGACTTGTGCAGTTGCAACATTTCTTTTTATTCTGGGATTTGCAAAGGAAGATGCACTAGAATGAGTAGCATCTAAAAGCTGAACAAAAACAGGGAACTAAATGCCTGTTTAAGATTGGACCAAAGCACCTCTGCAGGGATCGTGAGGATTTTAGGAAGTCAATTATTCTCAAGTGCCATATGAATTATACTTCAGTCAGCTTGTAAGAACCTCTGGGAGTGTAGAAAACATCCATTTTTGAAAAGCACGAATCATCTCTATTTACTAGCTAAAAAAACTTGGTACCTTAAAAAGTCTTCAGTAAAATATACAGCAGTGTCAGATCCCACTCTCCACCTCAAAGGCTCAGTCTCAGCTAGTAGCCAGCAGCTGGGCTCACTATCTTGACCTTACTGCTCTATGAGAAAGTAAAATAATAATAATAAAAAAAAGAATAGAGGAAAAAGTGAGTGAAGTCAGGAGAAAGACAGGACTTCATAGAACTGGCTTTAACTTTATGGGCCTTTCTTTAATTCCACTCTGCCAAGAAATTTGTTTTCTTCTTAGTGATTATGCAGCTATGCATATACAATGTGTAAATGTTTCCCATTGTATTTCCTTGCCATTTTTGTCATTTGCCAGCATTCTGTAGAAGTGGTTGTTCTAGAAGTAAGTAATGGTAGGATGGAAACAGAAATGAGAAAAGCACTGTGTTCTTGGCTCTTCGTGAATGCAAAGGGACAAATACTTTGTAATAATGTTCCATTTTACAGAGAGGCCACAAACTGATCTTGGTTACTTCGGTGTAAACCTGGAGAAATTCGGCTGAGCTCGATAGACTTACTCGGGCCTGAAATCAATTACTGCCCTGGTGTGGGTGAGATGGAGCCCCGCTCCTCGGCCCGGTTCCGAGGAGCTCCATGAAAATGGAGCGGCGGGGAAGAGGGAGCGGTGCCCGGTCCGGCAGGGCAGCGGTACCGCGGGAAGCTGGCAGCGCTGTGCGGGACGGGCACGGAGCAAAGCGGGGCGGTGCCGCGGGGAGCTGGCAGCGCTGTGCGGGACGGGCACGGAGCAAAGCGGGGCGGTGCCGCGGGGAGCTGGCAGCGCTGTGCGGGACGGGCACGGAGCAAAGCGGGGCGTGCCCGGCCCGGGCGGCCCGCGGAGAGACACGGCCTGCGGGCAGCCGGGGACGGGCTTCGAGCGAGTGGGCAATTGTTATGCAGCCATGCAAGAATAGAAACAAAATGCAGCTTAAATACTCCTCCTCCGAGCCGGCCCCCGCGATTATGCTCGCAATGACCGCAGTGGGAGCTGTGGCGTCCGCGTTTCCATTTCGGTCCCTGGCATTTGCGGGCGCTGGCACTGAAGCAGAGCCCAGTGGGATTCCTGAGGGCAGCGCTGTGCCAAGTTAATGATGGGCTACATCACTTTAGACAAAATGATGCTTCCTGACACTCTCCCTGTGAGAGCCACCCTGTAGGAACACGCTGCAAACACACACACACACACACACACACACACACACACCCCATAAAGTCCCTTTCCATCTCCTTCCTCCATCTTACCTCCTACACCAAGAACTAAGCAATTAAGAACATTTACTATATTGTATCAGTACAAAAATTACACTTCCCACCTGATGTGTGCCATTAGATTTTTTTTTTTCCCCACAGAGAATGTAACTCAAAGTGGCACATATCTTGTATCAGTGGCTGAGTCTCAGTTCTCACAGAGGAGCCTCGATAGCACAGTGGGATGTTTTGGGGGTAGGGGTCTGCACTCTTGAAACCCCTTCCCCAGGCAGCCTGTTCTCCAGGTTCCTTAGCATTAATAAAAGGCAGAGGGGATGAAGAGTTTTGTTTCTTTTGCCACGTCAGTATTTTCCCATATAGTGACTAGAGGTCTATTAAAAAAAACCCAAAAAAAAACCAAACCAAAACAAACAAACAAACAAAACAACACTTCAAGAGACTTTTAAAATCCTATGCCATTATGCCATATTTACCCACTAGTGATTTTTTTTTCTTTGGTAGCACATGTAAATAAATGTGAAGAAAATAAATACAGAATAGGCAGCTAATTCTGGAAGCAAAGGATAACATCAAATTTAACAAGGACATTAATTCTCCATTTCTTTTTGTTCAGTTTTATTATAATTATTTAGTGCTGTTTGCCTTTATCCACGTGTTATACTCAATTTGACAAGTCTGGGAAAAATAGTAAATAAATACATAAAAACCTTGATAAACCCCTTGATCTATGACAAGCAGAGAATAAAGCCTTATTTGAAAGGCATAAATAGTAAGGAATTACTTGATTTTTCTGAAGTTTGCTTTTTAAAAAATATTCAGGAATACAAAATATTAACTCAATTTTGCAGTAAGTTTGAACTAGCCGAGCTTAGTCTTTGAAAATGGGAGAATTCCATTGTAGACAGCTTATTTGGCACTTTATTCTGAAAGATAGCTCTAAAAGGGAAACTCTTGCTCCCCACTTTATTCCCTACTGCAAAGTCCATATGACTTTAAAAGCTGTTGTTGTACCTATATATAAATACTCTGCTACTAAACCAGAGGGTGGTAATTTTCTTCATCCACAGTGCTTTTAGGAAACCTGGAACATGTATCTCTGCTTTGAGCACTACCTGTGTAAAAATATCCATTGTAAATGCAGAAGAGAATGCTTCCAACTTTTTATTATCTCTTCATCAAGCTCTTGTAGGAAAAAGATATAATATGGAAAAAAGATACCAAATTAAAGCTAGTATTTCAGGCAAATCCTATTGTGATGAGAGTTAGGTATCTTTACTGAACACAGACCTCAGAGCTGACAAGAATCAGGATAGTAATGGTTGCCTCTGATCCACCCCAAAGTCGAAACATCCAAGGGGTCCCTGGGCAAAGGCTGAAGAGGGCCGGGATTTGCCACTCTCCTTGGCTAAAGCCCCAGACATAAGAAAATGTTAGAGCCTCTCAGAGCTGAAAGGTGACTGAGGCTTGCAGGTCAAAACAAAGGAACCTTCTTCACATCAGTATTACAGAAGGAAATTACATGAATTAGTTAAAGAAGCATTCTGAGGGCACTGAAGAGAGACAGAAAGTGTTATATTTCTGGTTACACGGTGCCCATGGCTGGGTCACGGCCATGCCTGCAGTAGATGCTGTCATGCTGGGGGCCATATGCTTTTAAGTTTCTCAGGAGTTAATAAAGTCATAAAGACTCTGCTTCTCCCAGCCTCCCCCACAGGCCAACCAAATTACGGGGTGTGCTGCTCTGGTGTGCTCTCACAGGCGATACTTTGAACATCTAAATTCATCTCCTTCACACAGGGAGCACATAATAACTCTACTGACAAGTATCAAGGCAGACTCTGCACAGCAGCTTTGACGTGCAGATATTCTGGCTGAGCCTGGTGAGCTGGCAGGGCTGTGTAGGAGGCAGACAAGAGGAATTCCAGTTTTATATATGGGCACACACAAAGGAGTCTTGAGGTAATGTGTTCTAGCTAACTCCTGTCTGCAGAGCTTTAATCCATAAATCACCTTCCAGATCTATAGTATTTATTTTCTTTTGCTAGCCATAAATCTGAGATGCCCTGATACATATCAGCCAGAACAGTATTTCCATTTATTGGTATAATTCAATACATGGAGTGCATTGACCATACACAGAATTAAGTGATAGGCTGATTTTTATTTGTCTGAGTGGGATTGTAGTGGTCAGAAGTAAGGACAGAATTTAGGACATTATCCCTCCTGGGCTGCTGAGTCTCCTCAGATTCTGTAGACTTCAGTGGGGACCAGAGGACAGAAGTTCCTTATGGAATGGTGTCTTTGGGAATTGCTGACTTGTGACAGCCAGCAAAGCTAAGTTGGCAGTGGGGACAGCTTCTGTGCTCACTGTACATCCGGTGTTACTGAAATGACTTTACTCAGAGTATTACACTGTGGTGGTATGCTGCAATAGAAGGTCGTTGCTGTCATATTCTGTACCTCTGCTTATTGAAATGAACACCATAATAAAATATAATAGAATATATATGTTATAATAGAATATGTATATATTCCTTTCCTCTGTTACCATGGTGATTGCTCTTAAAAAGATACTATAATAAAAAATTAAGTAATAATTACTTCATTTAAAAACAAACAAACCCCATGACCTGGTTCCCTTGAAAGATTAAGCAATTCTGACTAGAACAGGAACTATCTGCTAAGAACAGTGAATTGTTATGGTGAAGCTGGAGGGTGTCTCTTTCATGGAAATGAAACGAATTAAGAAAATCCCAACACTGATATGGTAAGTTCACTTTACTGAAATTAGTTGCCACAAGAAATCACTGAAAAAATAGGCCTTTATAATTTTTGTTAAATTGGGCTATTCTCATGGTGTTAAAATATGAATGTATGAAAGAACTTAATTGTAGAATCTGTAATGTTGACCTTCTTTTGATAACTTAGCTTTGGCGTAGCCTCTGCTTTTACATGAGAGCACTCAGTTTGTAGTGCTGGCTCAAACCCGCTGTATGGCTACTGAGCTTCAGCAGGTTTAGCACTTCTCTACTCTAGACACAGCATTTGTATGTTTTTTTCCTCCCCAAAGAAGTAAATTATTTATACAGCATAAACCTTTTTTAACCTAGCTTCTGACAGGCTGGGATTTTTCCAATCTCAGTTGAAACTGTCTAAATAATTTATCAAGTATTCTTTCAGTGTACAATGAATTCTGAAACCTAAGAAATGTTAAATGAGATTCTCTGCCCTTACAGTATGAGTGGGTTACTGAGGTTAAGCTAGTATTTTCTTTGAACTTTTCTCAGTCCCCGTTTTCTCCCATTGCAGAATCTCCTTTTCCTCTCCTACTATCTATTAATTTTCATGACATTTTCTATTTATCAGCCTTTTCTTTTGTGTTTCTCTTTCTCTTGCTACCTCTTCCCTTGCTGATGTTTTTCTATACCTCTTCTTCATTGCAGGAAGACAGCTTCCCTTAAAATGGTCCTCCAGAGAGAGGAACCATCAATTTCCAGTCCCAAGATGCACAGGCAGTCCTGGATCTTTCAGTCCAGCCTCAAATTTAACTGCACCTTCTCCACCTATCTCCATAAAGAAAATGGTGACAAATCACAGAATCACAGTCATAGAATGGTTTGACTTGGAAAGGACCTTTACAGGTCCTGTAGTCCAACCTGTGTGGGCAAGGACATCTTCAAGTAGATCAGGTTGCTTTGAGCTCTGTTCAACCTGGCCTTGAATGTTTCCAGGGATGGGGTATCTGCCACCTCTCTGGACAGCCTGTTCCAGTGTTCTGTCACCCTCACCATAAAAAATTTCTTCCTTATATCCTGTCTAAATTTATAAATCTAATTTCTTTCAGTCTAAAATCATTACCCCTTGTATATTGCTACAGGCCCTGCTACTAAAAAGTCAATCCCCCGTCTTAAAAAGTCTTGAGGTCTCTGGTAAAGAAGAAAGATGCTTACACAGAACTTGGATCTGCAAACATGTAAACCTGAAAAAATGTATTTTCAGGTCAGGTATCTCACACACACCAACTCCAATCCATTTCTATCTGGTCAAGACTTCCTCTAAGATTGCCTTCATTTTATAGCACTGTGATAATTATGTCTCAAAAAACCACTTAAGTTTGTAAAAACACAAAAAAACCTTCCACCAAGACTTGGATCCATTCCAAATTTTCCAGCAGGCATTTTAATCCTTTTAAAGTTTAGTCAGTGGTCCAGGTGGCTTCCAAATTTCTTTTCAGCATGAAAAAAATAACAAAGTAGCACTCCATAGAGATTTTTATTTAGGCTCAGCAATTCAGTATTGTATCCCTTATGAATTAATGATATCATGAACTCTGCTTCAAGATGTCTGAAGTAACCTCACAGCTAAAAAAAGAAGAAGTCTGGACTGGCTGCTGATTTCTGTAATTCTGCTGTATTGTAACTGTTTAAACTGAACATATTCCTTTAAGGAAGCTATTTATTTTTTAAGTTTAAAACAAAGCAAACTTTGGAGAAGATTACCTGTCTGAGACCCCGTGTCAGAGAAGAAATAGTGTCCAGGCATCATTTTGTAAGAGATGCTCACCAAATTATTTTTCCAAAGGTTTCCTCGTGTAAAACTATGTTCTTCCCATATATATTAAAAATAGATTTGTTACATCCTAACTTTTGTGTTATTATTTCAAGAATAAAGTTTTGATTTCAATTTGAGGAAAAGCAGTTCTTCCACTTTATGGCTATTATAATATTAATAAAATACTTTAAAACTGTATGTGTAAAGGTTTGTTATGAGATATGCAAGCTCACCTGTATCTGATATATTGATATCTGATAATAATTTTGCAGAAGTCTACAATAATTTAATTTTACTCCAATACTCTAGTTTGACTTTTATTTTTTATACAATTTAATTAAAATTTAAATATGAGGAAAGCTTTGTCACTACATAGCTTCGTCTGCTGTATATTTTCCTTTTTACAAACCAGTCTACTTGGAGTTGAAGAAATAGGGAAGAGATGGTCCATAATCCCAGCTTCCCACTAGATGACGCTCTAAGTACAAAAACACAAACTTTAGCATATTCATAAATTTATGCGTAAACTGCTTAAACACATTATGTGTCCATTAATTTACAGCTCTTACGTGCTTATAAAGATTGATGATAGGGAGGCACAGTGGCCTGTGAAAGATTGGAAAAACAGTGGTTCTTCTGTTCAAAAGTATGGCTATAGGTATTTCCCCTGGTATGTCTATAGCCATAGCACATCATTTAACTTCAGTGTTAATTGTTTTGGTCCCATGTGCTACAACACACTAGCTAACAGCATTTTTTTCTTACTTGCTTGAAGCTTACTCTAATGTGGTTAAATGCCAAAATTTACTATACTTTACTCCCGTAAGATGTAGTAATTTGGATAGATACCTAGGTGTTAAAATACACCATGTATTGCATGGATATATCATGCAGAAGCATGCACACTCACACATATTTACCAACTAGAATAAACAGATAAAAGCTATTAAATAACTCTGTATTCACCTGAGCCCTTCCTCACAGTTATCTTTACATAAAGTACCATAAAGGAAACACTGTCACGTCAATGCCTTCCTAGTAAAGTGTCTTCCATCTGTACGGTTTCTTTATAAAAGATGTAAGACCAAGTTATGAAACGATGTTGGAGAACTTGAACTGCTAGAGTGACAATGCATAATTACACTTCAATGCTGTAATTGTTTATGTTTTGTATAATCTATTCTTAAAAAAAGAAAAATATATTTAAAATTTAAATTATTTAAAATGATTGAAATGCTCATTGTCAAAACACAATATGCAAAAGAAAAAAAGAAAAACAACCTAGCAAAATTTCAACCAGAAAGGTTGCTATTGTCAGAAAACAATGCTGGCATTAAAAATGTCTCATTTATTCTAACATATAGTGACCTCTGAGTGCCTTATCAGCAACAGAGTGTGTTGTTCAAGCTATGTGGAAAAGCTTTGGGATTCAAGAGAAGTGGGCACACAGCACAATTACAGTGACAATTTGTTTGAAGGCGCCTTGTCCATCAGTGGCAAACCTGATTCATAAAAATTCCTCCAAATCCTGGAATAGTAAGTTTGGAATGTGCACAAAATTCGAAGATGGTGTTTGCAGCATAACATTGATGTGCAAGATTATTAATTGTCACTTTTATATTAATATGTAATGTTAAAGACCTTCATGTGTACATTTCCCCCAGTCTGTGAACTGTTGGTATTTTAGGTACCATGGCAATGACAGCTTTAATGGGAGCAGACTCGGCCACCCTGCTGCGAGAGACTAGTGAATCACATGATTTTAATCTTTCATGTATTGACTTTCTAACTCTTTAAAATACATTCAGCTACAGACATAAAAGATACTGAAGCTCTGGTTAATAAACAATTTAACAAGATTCTGAACTTCATTAATAAATTAAAGAATATATTTACTCATACAGAAGCCTGACCTGAATGTCTAGATTTCTTCTTTGCATCTGTATTTACATGTTAAAAATCCCTTAATCTTCTGGCTTGAGCTATCTTTTATTAGGATTGTCAATAATGACACAGTATGAGGACTTACATGGAGAGTTTTATTCTGTGTTTTCCAGCCAATGACATGCTAACTATTTTCTATACAAATTTTTATGAAAATTCAAGCTTTAATGAAAAAAAAAATCTTTTTTGCTTGATGAATCAATACTTAGGGTACTTAGAAAATGAGGTACCAATACTCACCTATTTCCTGAAAAGTACCAGGAAGATTAAAAGAAAGAAGTTTGAACCTTTAAGCAAATGTTATGTGCTGTTTACACCCTGACTCTGCCCAAGTAATGGAGACTTGTGTCAACATATGAGTCCACTGGCTTCAGGCCACAAGGAAAGAGCTCTCATGAATCAAAGACGAGGTTTCTCGCTGCAAGAAAAAAATAAAATATATCATGACCTGTGCTTCCCCATTACTGCAAATAATGACATTTTAAAATTATAATACTGGGATTTACACTTCTTTATTTTTCTAGGATGTTTTGGTCTCATATTTTCAAGATTTCTGGAACAATCATGATAGATACTTATTTTTTAAATAAAAAAAATTAGTCCGCAATTCTAGTTCTCTCAGCTACATTGGCAGACTTCTTCTGTGTTCTCAGCTATGTCAGCAGAAAAATGCTGCCTTCACTTGTGTCAGTCAGGAATGCGGTGCAGTTCCACCAGCCAAAAAATTCCCTCTGTCAGCGTGTCTTGAGTGTTGTTCTGGGGCCTCTGGCAGCGGGCTGCTCTGGCAGTGCTGCAGAGGGGGAAAGGGCAGCCCTGGGAGCCACTTGGACATGGGGACCTGCCCTGCCAGAGCCCCAGGGAACCTTTGCACCACGCTGAGAACCAGCCATCAGCAGCTCCGTGTGTGTTTAAAGCAGGACTCATACGCCAAGGATGAAATCTGCATTTTGTCCTGAGCTTTGTTACAGCCTCCCTGCAATGTCACCATGCACAAGGGACGCTGTGGCACTGCAGAGCCTGCTTGGTGCCACCCATGCCAAAGCCCAGCTGTTCTATGGAGTGAATGGGTGGATTTACACCTGCATGTCTTACAGCTCCCAGTGCTTCTCAGACTTCCCAACCCTAGAAAAGCTTTATCTCTTTACTTCTATTTCTGTCTTGCCCAGCATGGGAACAATCCCTTTTATTTCCGACCTGTATCTATCAGGTACTGTGTGTGGAGATCTCAGAGCCTGTCTCTGTTTGAGTGATGAGAAAGTGCAGCCAAATTGCAGCAATGAGGATAAAAATTAGAGCGAAAGAAAGAAATTAGGAGGAGTATGGCCCAGGGGATGCCAAAATCAACATCTCCTATACTCTTTTAGAAAATATTCTGAGAATTTTGAGAAAAGTCCATTTCAAACTTTGGTTGAGGCAAAAACCTGAGGTGAAGCCCATTCCTCATTGTGTCTCCACTGTTTGAATGGAAAGCATTCCCAGACTGGTGGAGGACTGCTTTCCCCCATATACCAAAAAAGGACAGTGACAAGTGTCACCTGTGACACTGAGTGAAGTCCACACTGGGCAGGCTCCCAGGCTCTCTGTGTGGGAGAGAGGGCAAAGAAGTTCAGCAAAGGCCACAATGACTTTTGGTTTGTCAGGAGCTCTGGGATCTGAGTTCTGCAGAGAACAGGGAGGAGAGAAAGGAGAGCAAATAGGGCATTATCCCAGCTGTAAAAAGATTTACTGAGAGCACCTTCTGAACCGTGGTGAGCAATAATTTTCTACATACCTCCACAGGGTTATGTGTGAAAATGTAGAAAATCGTGTATTTTTAATGATTGAAATAAAATATTTGACATTGAATTGAGCAGACAGACATTATTTTAAACTGACATACAAGTATAAAGAATATATTCTTTGCAAGAAATGAATGAAAATATGCAAAACTGAGATTCTAACTAATTTTTTTAGTCCATTTGAATGAGTCCCCCATCCTTCTACAGAAGAAGGCAGAGAAAGGGAGAAGTGTTTGAAAGTCAAAATAGTACTTTGCACATCACTAATGTTTTCCATTTTAGGATCTCTAGTGCTTTACAAGCTTAATGTGATTAACTTTATGCTCAGTAAGCAGTTCTGCCCATAAAAATAGGTAGGTCTTTACAGGATTAGGGCCTCAATTTGTCCTTAAAGTGATGAGCAGTGAATATCACTGCTTTAACAGACAGAGCTGTATAAATAACAGATACTGTCATTTGCCTAAAGATCTGTCAAAATGAAAATTGTATGGGATTAACCTGAAACAAAACTAAAGAGAGCTCAAATTTGCAGCAAGCTGCAAGGAAAAGGAAAGAAGGAATAAAAAAAAACCCCGAACATAGTGAAACATTTCCTTTGATTAAAATATGAAATATTTCTGTCTTAAAACTCTTAAAATGTCATTCTTTAGAATAAAAGGAGAATTATTTAAAATTACCAGTTAGAAATTAAATAGTAATTCTCAGTATGTCAAACTGAAACATACTTTTCTTTGTACACAGCATGACAATTGTCACATTGTAAGAAATGTCCTTTGGTGGGGAATGTTTTGTGGTGTCCGCTCTAGGACAGGTCAGGTGGAGCTATTGGCACACGACTGTTGGGGGGAGCTCCCTGGGATTAGGGGGGCTTCAGGGGCAGCTGCAACTGTTTTGCTGCCTGTCCCAGGGGTGCCCTGCTCAGGGCACAGCCAGTTCCAGGGATGCCCCACTCAGGGCTCAGCCAGTTCCAGGGGTGCCCTGCTCAGGGCACAGCCAGTCTGAGGCACACACCAATTTTGCAGCACTGAGACCCCCAGATGGGCAGCCACAGAGGCCTGAAAGGGTCTGATTCTCTAATGCCACAGGCCCATCCTTCCCCTTGTGCCTGGGCTGACCCATCCTATCTCCCTCAGGCATCCTTTTGCTATTTCTGTCTCCTCTCACATCTCTTGGGACACATTTTGTGCATGCAGGTTGCACAGAAAATGGC